GTGTGAATGGTTGGTGGTGGTCCGAGGGGCCGATGGCACATTTTTCCTATGTGGTTTTACTGCAAATGGCAAATAAATGAATCTGAATCTGATACTGGGTGCCTTGCTTCTGTCAGTGTGCCCCTGGGCAGCTGTGGCTGCAGTAGTAGTTCACCACCATGTATGGAGTGAAAGAATAATGACATGTGAAGCCTCTTTGCGTATCCTGAAAAGCGATATATAAAACCAATTCATCATTAATTTTTAACATTAACATGTTTTTTATTAAGCATGTTGTGGTCTGATTCATTCACACGTTACTTAAACAAGACTCAGACTGTGTAATGTCTTTATAAAATGTAAAAAGTTAGGTACACCAACTTCACCAGTAGACATATGGCTCACTCCACACAAACTGTACCAATGTGTTACATACGGGTCAGTGACACGAGAAAATTCCCAAAATGTCCGCGGCTGCTATACTGCCAAATGTTCACAGCACCCACTGAAGGCGCACAACTCAAACACTGATTCGTTTACGCCCGTACTATTAATACCGCTCCAGACAGCCGTTTTGTCTGCAGTTATTGAATAATATTTTTTTGCATTATGTATAATGTATAATCTATAAATAGATATTGATTATAGATATATCCCCGACCAATAGTCTTCCCTGTCCATTCACAAAGCCTCCAACATGACATGTCCTATATGTTACAATTATGTCCCAAAAGTTAAATATATTTTTATTTGAAAGGCATCCTTTTTTACTTTAAATGCTTCTGAGCTGCCATCCGAGATTTTATATATATATATATATATATATATATATATATATATATATATATATAATCAATGAGCTACATAGTATTAACAAATTATAAGGGACAAACATTTTTGGTTGATACATTTATTGTATTGCCGGTTGAAGTAAGATTGATGCATTGTGCAGTTTAATGTGGAGTGAGCCATATACCTTAACCAAGTGTGACTCTCACACACACACACGCACATGCACACGCACGCTTCATATAGTGGACTATTTGAGTAAACATAAGTGCATACTGCTGAATGAAACCATTACTCAAGATCTATAGGTTCCACTGGTGCTGCTCCGGTGGCATTGAAGGATTGTGTGTGTAGCCTTCACAGCATGAGTACATCTGTGTGTACTGTGGGTGTGGGACTTATGGTTCAGGTGCTACAGACAAAATGAAAATCTCAATGTGTTTTTGAAGTATTTACATAACAATATTCTTACAAAAATCTAAAAATGTATTGTAATCTTGCTTAAATGTTCTTCTAAATTGATGCTCACAAATATAATTTAACTAATACCAAACCACAAATATGCCAAGAATTGAACTACACAAAACTTTGAAAGATTGTGTGTATTTTAAGTACTTTTATACAGATGTCTTGCGGTAATTTGTGATAGTTTTGACTGTAGGTATGTACCGATATGAAATTGATGTTGGATATTGGTGCCGAAATAGGAAATACTGTTGGATCTAGTATAGGTTAAGCAGATATCCTGTTGATAGAATAATAAACTATTTATTCTGTCATTCACTTTTTACTTTTTTTCCAAACTGTTTTTAGTTACTTGCAGAATAAGTAATAGTAAAAGCACAAAGGGATATTTTTTGTAACAAGGAGACAGGCTTCTTTTCTGACAAGGTTTTTATCTTCAACTCTTTCTTATTGTACTGTAATTGTTTATGATTTTAATGCCTTCTTGTTTTGTTATGAATTGCTGGATTTCTACTATTTTTCATCTTTAAAATTCTCTTCAAAACAACTATTGAATCATTATGTGTTTCATTAAAAGCTAATGAATCTCTACTTACAATCCACACTCATTTATACATAACAGGTTCAACAACTTTGTATGTGTTTTTTTTTTTTTTTTTTTCTTATCTTTATTTGAATTGGGACAGTGCACATTCATCAACATGTGTTTTTAACATGTAAATGTGCCAGAGTTAGCCATGTAGGCTAATTTTCATTCGTAGTCCCATGGCAGGTTGATATTAAGACAGATAAAGCATACAACAGGCACACACAGACACACACATACAAACCCACACACAGACACACACCATCACAGAGACATAACAAAACAGGGCATGTAACATTTGGTAAAATATGTAAAATAGATACATTAGCACAGATAAAAGATCAGAGGGACAATACACAAGACACCACAGTTTTCCATACAGCAAAGTATCAATGGTTGTGACTTTAAACCATATGTTCACATTTTTGATTGTCCACAAGCCACTTCTTGACAGAGTTTTTAAAAGTGTGGATTGAGGTCAGGTTCCTCAGTTCTGTTGGGATCGAGTTCCAGGAATGTGCTGCGCGAACTGAGAAGGCAGATTGTCCAAATAAAGTCTTTCTGAATGGGATTTTACAATCTCCTCTGCTTGATGATCGCGTATTTGAGTTTACATTCAGCTGTAGGAACTCCTGCAATGGGGGGGGGGCAAGCCCATTTAGAATTTTATAGACCATAATTACGTCTGAATACATTATCAAATTTTCCCACTTCAAAAAAGTTCAAGTTTATGCCACTTGCGGAAAAAGAGACATTTTTCTCAAACCCACAAACCGCTGAATTAAGTTTGTTTCCTCTCCTTTTGAATTGGCTTTCTAAAATGGAGGCTTCTAACCTGACGGTGAAAGGCAGGATGTCTGAAATGCATCACGAGCAAGAGCCTCTGTGAACGGCTGAATAATACATACATATCTTGTGAGGATCCGGTGCTTTTCAATAGCTGTAGGATTGCACTCAACTTAAACCATTTTTTACTAAGGGCTGTTCTCTTTTCCTGAGTCTGGTCTCCCATAAATAATTTGCCTTCAGATGCATCAAAATTGCAACTTGTTGGTTATGAGAAAGAACAGTGAGGAGGCAGTTTGAATGCCAATGTGCCAATGAATAAACAATGGAGCACCACTACATAGCTGCCAAGAGACACTGCCCGGAGCCCGCAAACTCCTCTAATGGGATTTCACCACAGAAGCAGCTCTTTAGTCCAGTGTGAATGAAGGCGGCCCATCTGAAGAGCCTTCTATACTAAGTCATGTTAAATCAGCAATTCTTTAAGCTCATTTAAATATTAAAGCTGAGGTGCCTAACTTACAAGCCACAAAAAACATTGAATATACTATATTGCTGGCTCTCAAAACATGCATGCATGCATTGTTTGGCCACTGTCAAGTCTTTTGATCAGCTTTTTCAGAGAGAACAGTGAAAAAGAGTGGACCACCCTCACTCAACCAATCAGCTCTCAGTCAAATAGTGACTGGAGTATGCAAAAGAGAACATGTTTTTTAATCAGATGAAGACGGCACGTTGTGGTATGATTTGATTTTTTTCTTTTTTTTTGGAACAAACTCCAGTGTGTAATAACTGGCTTGATCAACTAAATAATTGGTAATAGATATGAGGGTCACGTTAAAGTGTTATTAGGATGTTACTAAAGCCTGTTGGCATATTTGGTAAATACTTTAAAGTTAACACAATTTAGTAAGAGCTAAAGAACAAAGCATATTACTTAATATAATTGTTTAAGTTGCCAAGGCAATATAAATGAATCATATAATCTTCAATAAAAAGAAACTCACAGCTCATGATCATGCCGCTAGATTGCCATCTAGTGTTCAAACACGGTACTTGTTGAATAATTTCAAGACGAAATGAAATGTTTAAGATTTACATTTATTTTAAGACATCACTAAAATAACAAACTTAGCTTGTCTTAAACGAAATACAGTCTGATCATTAAACATGATATAGCATTTAAACATATTTTTAAAATATTTAAAGAGTAAAATATATCATTTTCGATCTGTGACAAAACCACAATGTCAAACAATGTTACAAAATGCATTCTCTTCTCACAAATGAGCAGGATGTTTTAAGCATATTGTCATGTGGCTTTAAACAAAATCTTGCTTTATTCAGGTAGAAATCATGAGGTCTTTCCATCATTCTTTCACAAAAGTGCTTACAGAGGATTTAGCAATGGTTTAAAGCCAGTTGTATTATTACAAACAAAAGATACTGCATTGAGTGTATATCCTGCATGTTCGGTCGTGTCCATGTTCAGACCATATAACGTTGTCCTCCAACAAAGTGCATGTAGAAGTCTATCAGCAGACTGGAAACTTTGAAACATGTACAGTACATTGGCCACATGAGAGCTGTTATCACACAAATATTTTTTTATAATGCAAACAAATGACACATTCTTAAATATATATGTAAAATAAACCTGCTGTAACTGGATTTTCATGATTAAAATACATTTTCTTTACATAATGAGAATATTGGTATGTTGTATTTCCCTTCTTGCATTGTAGTTTCAGAGATGCTGGCAGAGCTGGAAGCAGCACCCAGAATAGGTTGTTTTCACAGATCATAATTTTTAACTACAAATTCTGAAAATTGCCAAATATTAAGCTGTCAACAATTTGGCCAAAGAGTGTACCACCTTTTTAACCATGAGCCTTTAAACATAATTTGCTAATATTACCAATTTAGCCTGTGTTAGAATAATTTACTATATTTAACCCTTACCCTAACCCTAGCAAAACAAGAATACATTGCACACTCAACTTGTATACTATATATAATGTGGTCCTAAAAAAAAGATTGATCTAATTAATTAAAACATAATTAAAATAATTATATTTTTAAAATGTTTAGTGTGCAATACTTTCTTGTTTTTGAACTTCTTTCTCTCACATTTGCACCTCATCATAAATTGTTGACATTCATGTGGCAGTATTGTGTTGTGATGCAGAGATAATGCAGTCCAATAAAGTAACCACAACAAAACAATAGATAGTTTCAGCAAGATTTTTTTTTTTTTACTGACCTGAAAACAACCTATTCAAATAAATTACCCAAAGATCGGTATGAATGAAAACCATACAACAGTCAACTGGTCTGGCAGAGGATAAAGTGCTCATGTCCTTTGGCAGCAACACCGTTAAATGTCCGATAATATTCAATCGTAGACTCCACCCTCAGATCTAAGATAGTACCCCTCTCTCCCCAGCGCCTTGGACAGAAGTCTGTGTCTATTGGGAGACATGCAGCTCTGCCCCTGCATAAACCCGGCCAAAGCCTTGTTTGTCCGCACAGGTTTAGATCTGGCCGCGCCATAATACCCCTCCATGAAGTCATGCTGCGTCGGCCTGACTTTATAACTCTGAGTCCTCCTCCCGGATTGAGAAAAAGATGCCGGATGTTCAAAGTCTTGGGGGGATTTCACCTGGTATTGGTGTGGTCTATTTTCCCTCGTGCTCTGTGATCTGCCGGGTCGTCTGAGTATCCCCGGCTTCAGAATGCCAGAATAACCCGAGGCTTTTGCCATCATGAGCGGATCCTGATTGTAACCCTGTATATGGCTTTTGTGCTCAACGTTTTTCAGGTTTGGCAAAGCCTTTTCCGGCAGCGAGGGGACTTTGTGAAGCTGCTGCTTTTTAACATGAATACGCCTGCTTTGACCTGGCTCCGGACTTGGCCGATAACTGATTTGATGCTTGCTGACTTCGGGCTCACTTTGTTGGGATAGGGGTGAAGTCGGGGAGGTAGCTGCTTGGATGTTTTCCTTTCGATCGGCACAAAGCAGGTGTGCGTTCCCAGGGTCAGACTTACTACGCGTGTGCATAATATCTCGATTTCTTGAACCTGGACTGTCAAACGGAGACTTCCCCCGTTCCCTATATGGTTGGTACACGACTCTTTCATAAACTTCAGCATCTCTGGCCTTGTAGACAACAGTATCGCGCTCTATAAAAAGCTCCCTGTTAATTGGCTGAGCGTAGTAGTTGGACTGGTCGCTTTCTCTTGTGGAATGTAGCGTGTAGGACTGGCTGTGGCGCATCCCAGTTGGTTGGCAGGGTTCAGCATAGTAATGAGAACTGTCTCCTTGATAATGCTTGTTTCGCTGATCACTTTCTAACTGGCCAGGAGGATGCCAACCCGTTTCAATTAGCCTGGAATAAATAGTGTCCTGGTTTGGGGGCGAATCTACGTAGAATATAGTGTCCGGAGGCACGACTTCAGGCTCGGCTAGCTCATAGTGACTTATCTGAGGTGCGTGGAAAGATCGAGCTCTCCTGATTGCAGGTTGCCCCGTCGCTCTGTTGTCCGACCTCTGCTGCTGGCTGTTTGCCCTTTGAAAGCCACTTACGATGTGCTCATCTTTATAGTAACGTCTGTTCTGAGGTGACGGGGGGTATCTGGAAGCTAAAGCGGCGTAGTGGCCCTCTGAAGCCTGCCGGTATATGCTTTTTTGTAAATGAATTGGCAAGGCTTCAGGCGGAGGGCAGCGGGGCAGTTGGCGCGTTTGAATCAGATAACTGTAATCATCAGCCGCCTCGTCCTCTGTGCTGTATTGGCGATGCAGGGGCCGCGGGAGGACCTGTTCAATGGAAGTGGGAATGGAGGTTTCAGCCAGAACTGCTCGGAAGTTGAAGACGTTTATAGAGTCTGCGTTGACGTAAACCGGCGAAGTCAAAGGGCTTTGAGTGGAGCAGACAGGCTGCGTGGGTGTGGACACTCCTACGCTTTGATAAGTCGGCTCTATCGTCACATCTTCCAGTCGCATGTCGTCTCTGCTTCCGTCCAGACTCCCCGACCCCAGTGGGCTGACGTTAGGTGTGTAATTGCTCGTGCTCTCTGGTCCATCCATGGCCAAGTGGGCGGCTAGGAAGTGGGCAGTATTGGGGTAGCGGTGGCTCTTTCCTGGGCTGTGTCCGGACGAAGACGCCGCCTGGGCCCTGCTCTGCTCCTGTAAGTACACTTTGAGATCCAGCATGGAGGGCCTGGCTGGTCTGTCCTGGCCGGTCCCGTGGGGTAGATTTGCGTCCTGTCTGGGGAGGAGCAGTGGGTGAGGGGAGGTGTAGGTATTTCGTCTCTGGGGGCCGCCGCTCGCCCTCTGCGCGGATTCGGCCAGAGCTAGCGCCAGCTTGCGTGCGGCGCTCATCAGGGGAGGGTGAGGAGGGAGAACAGAGACTGAACTCATAAGTCTATCTGTTCCTGGGGAGGCATAAGACAAACAACGCTACAGTATGACAGGACAAACAAAGCTATGGTAAAGACATGATGGGACAAGACACAGAAGCTTTCATAAGAAACTAGATTAGGATGATTTATTACTAACTGTGCACTAGTGTTCACACATATGTTGGAACTAACCTGGATCTGGAAGATCAGACGCTTGGCTCACGGTGCTGATGGGGCTACAGTGCGGATATGGCAGTCTGCAGCGTTCTTTTCCATCGCTCATGTCGCATCTATCGTCCAGCGGTGAAGGCGTACAGGGGGACGGTGATGTTGAACTCCCAAACGCGGAGTTTTGAACATCTGCCCGTGTCTTAAATGACTTTTTCCGGAGTTTGGGTGATTTCACGAGTCTCTTTGCGTCCATGCCTGGGCTGAGATCGGGAGAGAACTCGTCAATGTTGTTGTTGGGAGAAGAGATGGGCTCAGATTCACTCGAGCACCCCGCGCTCTTTCTCCATTTGCTTCCACTCTTGCTGCACTGAAAAGACATTGGGTCAAAGTCCAGAGTGGAGATGCCCACAGCCGGCGGGCTCAGGTCAAGATCGTCCTCTTGTGGCGATGGTAGAGAGGTGGGTGTGTGGAGGGGGGGAGGCCGCAGCTCTTCTTTACTTAGAGAGCATCGCAGGTCATCTTTACTGACTGCAGCAGAAATAGCCTCGCTGGTGGATCGAGGTCGAAGGAGCTGATAACCGTGAGGATCGCCTGGGAGAAGGAAAACATGAGAGATTAAACTTTAAAAACTCAACATTGTTATACGCTGAGTACACAGGGGAAAGCAGCAGAAATATAGACTGAGTTAAGAGCATAGCCTTAAAGCTGGAGTTCCCAACTTCCATTTGTTTGTTTTTTTGAATACATTGTGTGTTCAACAGAAAAACTCTTAAATAAATAAAAGTGTAAGTGTTGTTATGAGGTTTCATATTTAAAAAAAATGTTTGGTTTTCTATTTACTTGGTTGGAATTATATTGTATATTACCTAAGTCATATTTTTGTTTTCCCTAAAGAAAGTGGTATGTAATTACACCTTTATACATTTTAATTGTACATAATTTATTTTACAAAATTGAATTTTTCTCACGAAACTTAGTGAGAACTGGGGATTATAACAAGCTCTCAGGTAGACATTACACCCTCTCATGCTCTAAGACCTCAGAGCGAGAGCCACTTTCCACTGTTAATGGTATTTATTTGTACATGTGTTAGTATTGTGTACTTATGTTGTTTTAATGGTATTTTGTGTTATGCCCAGCAGAGAGCGACACAGTTCAGAGATCTCAAAAGTGACAGACAGCCACCAGGTAGCTAATTGTATGTTTTCCTGTTTGCATCAGAGAAGGAATTGCGGTGTCACAAAAAGTTAGATTTGAATTGAACCAATCAGAAAAAAATATTATTATTCAAATCATTAATACCTTGCATTTCATTGAAGTAGCTTATTCTTATAAGGTAGTTCAATGAGCAACTGCGTTATTATGGAAGGTTTTTTTTATACTCCATTAGAAAAAGTATTTAAGTTACTCTTCTCGCAAGTGTTGCCTTAAACTTTAATAAGTGACGGAAAGCATGGAATCTCAAAACTGTTGCCCAGGTGACAGACTGGATTTTCTTGTGTTAATAAGAAATAAAACATACCTTCCATATTGTGCAAAGATGCCAGCGATTCTTCACTTTTAGTCGATCGTAATGTGCCTGTGTCGCCTCTTCCACCTGTGTATGACGACATGGATAATCATAATCATAATATATCATTCTAGATCTCTATCTAATGAAAAGCTTTATTATGGACGGTGAAACTAACCAGGAAGTGCGATGCTCTTCATCTCGTTGGGCTCACTGGGATGCCGCTTTAGTTTCCGTTTGGACACAGAGTGTGATTTGCCCAGGTGGAAAAATGAAAGCCAGTTGCCAACAGGAGATTTTTTTGATTTGACTGGAGCTCTTTTAAGGCTGTTAGAAAAGAGTGAAATAGTTATAGTTTTCATCCAGTCAAAAATGATATTCATATACTGAATCAATATGTGTCATGTTCTATAGGGTTGTCACGGATCAAAGACAACAACAAAAATCAACTAGTCAAACCATTATTGATTTGAATGTTTTAAGCATTCTTTAATTCATGTTGATACTTTTATGTCATAATATTGCTGTATTTGTTGGTACAGTATGTGTCTTGTGGCGTGTATAGTCCGGTTAAAAACTGTGATAAGCAAGACCCACATTGCTAGTATAAGTCTGGAGTGTGTGTGAGTGTGTGTGTGCGTGTGTGTGTGCGTGTGTGTAAGAATAGTTGGTGGTTTGAGGTGGCACAGAGTTTTGCCTTGCTTCTGTCAGTTTGTCCCAGGGCCACTGTTGTAGATTACACCATCGTATATGGAGTGAATTAATAATGCCTTTGAGCGTCCACCAAAGCAACATAAAACTGATATTTCTTGTATTATTATTATAATCATCCTCAATATTCAGTTGCAATACATTTTATTTCTCGACTAGTCTCTCATTTTATTTCTCGACTAATTTTGTCGGCTATTAGTTGCAGCAATAATACTGTTTTTTTGTGTAGAAGTACATACTTTTCAATGGGCAGATCGATAACGGTGTGAAACTTTCCGAGCAGTGCTTCAGGCCCCTCTCCCACCTCGATGTAGTCGCTGTGGGACAGACAGGGCGTGGTAGCAGGGGACCCCAGCTGAGCCTGAGTCCGAGCCTGGGCCTCCTCCAGGGACAGCAACTTAGTGGATGGCGAACAGACCAGCAGGGATTTGGGTCTGGCTAAGGTGTTGTTGCCTAAGACATGACAATTGAATATACATTTGTTTTGGGTTACAGTTTATACGTGAATTATCAATGTTCAGATTTAGTGACTAACCATTGTTTTCCCGTATGATGGCATTGATTTTCTGACTGAACAAAGCCTCAGTGTTGTTGAGGATGAACTCCACCACCACAGATTGGATCCGCACTTCCATAAAAGCCGCTGTGCCACTAAAACAGGCCGACTCGATTTGTTTGGACCTGAGGCACAATCCATCAGTTCATAAAAAAGAGATATGGTCCAGGTTTCTACACACAAAACCCAAGAGCAAACATAAGAATGTGCTGCTGTTCATTTACCTGAGCAGGTTCGGAGCCCAGACGATGGCCAGGTTCTTGGTGTGCATACTGGTCACTGAGCTGAACGTGGCCAGACGAGACAAGTGCCTCATCAAGAATTCTAATGTCCTATAAGTTACAAACCATGCCATTAAAATAGCAGTAGAATGTAAGCAAATAATACTAAATTAAATGAGTCTGTTTGCGTTCTCGCCACCAGGGGGCGACATACATCACTGGACAAACCTATAGTGAGGCGGAGGCAGCTGCTGGATGACATTGTAGATCTTGACCAGCCTTTCCTCATCAGTCGCTGCAGACACGGCCTCCTGAGAGCAGAGGATAACACAAACACAATGGCAGCAAAGGAATTTCACACTTAATTGTCTTTTATTTCTTGCCAATAATGAGCGTTGCCTAATCTGCTCAGGTTTTAGCATGCAGACCCCAGACAGCGTGACGTAATCAGTGACCCCATTTAAAGTGCTTTGGTCCTTACAGCAAACCGGTCGTAGAGCTGATATGTGAGCAGCGGGTTGGGCAGCTCTCTGAAGTACAGCTTACACAGAGAGCCCACCGAGTGGATGTCCTGTCGGAAGTTATCCCTCATGAGATCTGGCATCTGCTCGGAATCAAACTCATGTCTACCCAAATACAGAAGACAGAAGTAGGAATTAACGAAAGAAATCAGGCTGCAGCCATTGAAAATTCAAAATCAATTGTTTCCTCTTTTTTTTTGATTTTCTGTAAAAGTAGCAACCAACCTGAGTTTTTGGATGTTAGAGGAGATCCCAGAAAGCCTGTATATTCCATCAACCACACCAATCTTCTCGATAAACTCGGCACAACACTGGACGACCTGTGGGACTGCAGATCAGAGAATCAGTGGTCTAAGAAATACAAACTTGAAACAGGACTAAAACTAAACTAAACGCCGGTTGAAGTGACCGAACCACAGACAAAAGCATGTCACAAATACAGCGTTTATACGACCAGTCCGACTCTTTAATAGACCGCTGAAAGACAATCAGACGCTCAGTGCTGTGTGGTCGAAACAGAACAAATCACGGCTGCTCTGGCGTGAGAGCTCGTGTCCACAAACGTTAGCCGATTCAACCACAAGGACGATACACAAAGGCATAACCAAAACTGACCACACGTGTTTGTACCATCGTGTGCTGAGTTGTGCAGGTGCTCTCCCAGGTCGCAGCCGAAGACCCGCTCCCGGAGGATGCCTCGCTGTCGGAGCTTCTGCGGCGGAGGTCTGGACTTCATAAACGTTCTCAGGAATGTCACCAGTTTGCCGTGTTTCTTACACACTAGAAATGTGCAAAAAAATGAGTGTCTAAAGAGGGAAAAGGCTATAGTTGCTATTTATAAAGATGTATGTACCTGGCTTTGGCACTGAGCTCTGAACACTGGGGGGGATTTTGTCATTTATCAGCTCCACACAGTCACAGGGGAAGAAACCGACCTGGAGATGAAATAAATTAAGATTTGATTAAGAATGTTGCTTCACCAGTTACAGAAGGGATGAGGAGCACACAACACAAGATAAATTAAAACAAAATAAACGGAAATCTCTAACTTTATCATTATAAAGAAGCAAGTATAACATATCTAGTTTTAGCGTAATAAGGCAGCGGATTAGAATTCTCCAACTTGGCATAATGAAGAAGCAAGAATTGAGTATACAATCTCTGAATATGCTTGAATGTAAAATATTGGCTTTTCTCCATAAGTAAAAGGCTACGCATGAAATATATATTATTTCTTTATAAACTAATCTCATAGGCTGGGGTACCTTACTTAATTGTTTCATAGATAATGCATTTTTTGTCCAAAGAGAGAGTGGTTGACAGGTGTCTTCATCTTATTAGAAAATATATATTTTGCGTTCTCGTAAGAAAGTCAGTAACATAATTAGCATTGAGAGCTGAAGATGGTCTAAAGATTAAAGAGTATGAAAACTAGTAATAGAACCAAATGAACTGTTTTTATAGCAAAGAACAGTACATTGATTTTATACATTTTTTTTTTAATTTTTTTTTTATAGTTAGTGATTTTAGTTTTTTTGTTTCCTTTTGAAAATAGGGTACCCCAGCTTCAAGTCACACCAAAAATAAATAAAAAATGAACGACAACATAAAATCAGCTGTTTAACCTGAAATCCGTGTTTGCCCCTCCACCAGCCAGTGTCTTCTTTAGGAGGCATGTCGATTACAGAAACTATATCCCCGACCTGTTCAGACAAGATTAGATGATACACAATACAACTTAAAAAGCAGCAAATACACTCAACAGTAGAGCCCAGCACGGGCCTGTTATCTGGGCCCGAGCCCGGCCCGAGGGGGTGGCGCCCCAGCCCGGCCCAGCCTGATATGGTTTCTGAATTTTCAGGCCCAAAACCCGCATCAAGCCCGACGGTTTTTTTTTTTTTTTTTTCAGAATCAGAATCAGAATCAGAATCATTTTTATTGCCACGTAAGTAACAGGAGGTCACAGACTAGGAAATTGCTTTGGCTCAGTGCAACAGTCAAAAAGAGATAATAAAAATAAGAATAAAAAACACTTCTAAAGAATAAATTTAAATTTAAAATAGAGTTACAGTTACTATTTACAATATACAAGTGCACATGGTGCACACAATGTAAGGTGACAGCAGTACAGTGAAGTAAAGTGACGTATGATGGGCAGTAAAGTGACTTTATAAAGGGCGGGGGGACAGGTTAAGAAGTGTTCAAGAGTCCAACAGCAGAGGGGAAGAAACTGTTCTTGTGGCGGGAGGTTCTAGTCCTGATGGACCGCAGCCTCCTGCCTGAGGGGAGTGGTTGGAATAGTCCATGTGCAGGGTGAGAGGGGTCGGCTGTGATACGACCAGCCCGGCCTCGAGCTCGGGCGACGTACAGGTCCTGCAGCGATGGAAGGCTGCGGCCAATCACTTCCTCTGCAGAGCGCACAATGCGCTGTAGTCTCTGTTTGTCCCTGACTGTGGCTCCAGCGAACCACACGGTGACGGAGGAGGTGAGGATGGACTCGATGATGGCCGTGTAGAACTGCACCAACATCTGTGCAGGCAGCTTGGCTTTCCTGAGCTGCCACAGGAAGTACATCCTCTGCTGGGCCTTCTTGATGAGGGAGCTGATGGTCGGCTCCCACTTGAGGTCCTGGGTGATGGTGGTGCCCAGGAAACGGAAGGACTCCACAGAGGTGATGGGGGAGTCCATCACGGAGGGTGGGGGTGGGGGGACAGTGCTCTTCCTGAAGTCCACAATCATCTCCACTGTCTTCTGGGCGTTCAGCTCCAGGTTGTTACCACTGCACCAGGACACCAGCCGGTCCACCTCCCTCCTGTAGGCGGACTCATCGTTGTTGGAGATGAGTCCAATGAGGGTGGTGTCGTCCGCGAACTTGATCAGCTTCACGGAGTCGTGGCTGGAGGTGCAGTGGTTGGTGTACAGGGAGAAGAGCAGGGGAGAAAGAACACAGCCCTGTGGGGCTCCTGTATTTATAATCCGAGAGTCCGAGACATTTTTCCCCAGACGCACTCGCTGCTTCCTGTCCGTCAGGAAGTCAGTGATCCACCTGCAGGTGGAATCGGGCACGTTGAGCTGGGAGAGCTTGTCCTGGAGCAGGGATGGCAGGATTGTGTTGAAGGCAGAGCTGAAGTCCACGAACAGGACCCTGGCGTAGGTCCCCGGGGAGTCCAGGTGCTGTAGGATGTGGTGGAGGGCCAGGTTAATGGCGTCGTCTACAGATCTGTTGGCTCTGTAGGCGAACTGCAGGGGGTCCAGGAGGGGGGAGGTGAGGGACTTGAGATGGGAGAGAACCAGGCGTTCAAATGACTTCATGCAAGCCCGGATTAACCATACGGGCAACTGGGCAATTGCCCAGGGGCCCTCCGTGGGCGGCCCATCTAAAGGGCCTTGCTGTCTGGGCCCAGGGCCCACGGAGGGCCGTCATGGGCGGCCCATCTAAAGGGCCCAGACAGCAAGGGCACGAGCAAAATACTGTTACGGGGAATTTACACAGTAGGCGTAAACAGCGCGTACGCGTTTACTGCGCGCTCTCTGCGCGTAACATTTTTTTGGAGTATCTACACAGGCCGTGCGCGCAGGTCCGCGTCTTCTGATGCTCTCCCTGTGTAGTCTATGGAGCAGTGTAGAGGACAGTACAGAGACTGATGCTGTCCCTGTGTAGTCTGTGGAGCAGTGTAGAGGACAGTACAGAGCCTGAGGACTGATGTAGAGCAACACAGATCACATGCATGTGTTTGTCTCCATGGTCTCTGTGCGCTGGTTTGGCCAGACGCGAGACTTTATGAAAGAAAAAAAACGATGTCCAGAATCACTGTAAAACCTGCTGCTCCTCCTGCTGATGTTTAGACACAAGTCCTGTGTGTGTGCAGATGTGATCTAAAGCCAAGGGCCGCTAGAAAAATCATGTTTTACATGAGATTTTAATGGGAGACGCGTTGGTGCGCGCACAAAATTAGAAATCCATCTTAGAGCGCAGCAGATTTCTAATTTTGTGCGCGCACCAACGCGTCTCCCATTGAAATCTCATGTAAAACATGATTTTTCTAGCGGTCCTTGGCTCTAGATCGCAGTATACGCACACACTGCACTTGTATCTAAACATCAGCAGGAGGAGCAGCAGGTTTTACAGTGATTCTGGACATCGTTTTTTTTTCTTTCATAAAGTCTCGCGTCTGGCCAAACCAGCGCACAGAGACCATGAAGACAAACACATGCATGTGATTTGTGTTGCTCTACATCAGGCTCTGTACTGTCCTCTACACTGCTCCACAGACTACACAGGGACAGCATCAGTCTCTGTACTGTCCTCTACACTGCTCCATAGACTACACATGGACAGCATCAGAAGGACCTGCACACACGGCCTGTGTAGATACTCCAAAAAAATGTTACGCGCAGAGAGCGCGCAGTAAACGCGTACGCGCTGTTTACGCCAACTGTGTAAATTCCCTGTTACTGTAATCTCCCGCTCCCGAGCGTGTTACGTGACGTCAGGCGTTGCTAGTTGCTACAACCGGAAAAAAAAAATCAGACACGATGGAGAAGCTAAGCGGGAACGCGAAGCGAAAATTAAAAAAGGAAAAGGACATCAGAAACGCAGAAAATTTAAAGTATATACCTAAAATAGGTACTTTCTTCACTCGTGTTAATGTTGCCGACAGTTCTGTTAAGTCCACTTCCGTCAACGACGAGGATAACTCAGCTAGCCAGGAATTTTCTACACCGCCCGCGGCATCTTACGTTTACAGCCCGGAGAGCGAAAAGCCTGCACCAACTTCAAGCAACAACGTCAATGACAACAACAACCCAGAGACCGTGAGTCTGATCGTTGAGGGAAGCGGTGATGGCGGGTCTCCAGTCTCACCGCCACCTGAGCCGCTTATCGAGTCAGGGTGCGGCCCCTGCATCTCAACGTCTCTACTGCCGGGGGATCCTGCACTGTGGGTGGCCGTTACGGAGCGGCTGCGGGAAGAAGCGGTTTCCCGAGGGCCTGCAGCTTTCCAGAACCGGGCCTCAAAGTATCCTGCATCAGTAAGGGAGTCCGGACTTGGAAGTCGAACACGCTCCCTCACCAACGATTTGCTTCACTGCCGGCTCCCAAACAATGAAATTGTGCCAAGGGAATGGCTTCTTTACTCGCCATCAACAGGATCAGTTTATTGTTATGCCTGCAAACTTCTGTCATCCCAAAAGCATGCATTTATCAGCGGATTCTGTGATTGGAAACATCCAGAGAGGGTCAGTGATCACGAAAAGAGTGCAGATCATAGACAAAACATGCTGTCTTTATTGCACCGATCTAAATATGCATGCAGAGTGGACGCTTCTCTTGCCCGACAGTGCGAGTCAGAACAGCTGTACTGGAAAGAAGTCCTCAGACGTGTGGTGGCTGTCATTAAATTTTTGGGAGCGAGAGGACTGCCATTTCGAGGTGACAACGAACTGCTGGGCTCTGCGCACAATGGGAACTATTTGGGACTGCTTGAACTGATAGCGCAGTTTGACCCCTTTTTAAAGGAGCACCTTGAGAAACACGGCAATAAGGGTAGAGGTAAGCCATCTTACTTGTCATCAACGGTGTGTGAAGAATTTATATCATTGATGGGTGAAAAATGTAAGCAAGTGATTGCAGAGGAAATCAAAAATGCTAAATATTTCTCTGTAATCGTTGATTCAACACCAGATTTAGCACATGTAGATCAGCTCACATTTGTTTTTCGTTTTGTCAGTGCAGATGGCAGAGTAGTGGAAAGGTTCCTCGGGTTTGAGCCCATCCACAGCCACACAGGTGTCAGCCTAGCTGAATCTGTGATTGAAATGGTGCGTCGCTTGGGGTTGGACTTGTCAAACTGTCGTGGCCAAAGTTACGATAATGCGAGCAACATGTCTGGCAAATACAACGGGCTCCAGGCGCTCTTGAAAAAACAAAACCCGCTAATTCATTATACACCGTGTGCTGCCCATTCTCTGAACCTTGTAGGTGTTAACTGCGTTGATAATTGCTGTAAGGAGGTTAACTCTTTTTTTGAACTGCTGCAGTCTCTGTATGGATTTTGTAGTGCATCAACTCATCGCTGGAATACAGTTTTCAATGACAGCAAACATAACATTAAATACACTTTTAAATCTCTCAGCACCACCCGATGGAATTGCAGAGCAGACTCCACAAAGGCTCTCAAAGAAAATTACGGGGCAATTAGAGAAATTTTGGCTAAAATATCTTTAGACTGTGATGAGAAAACACAAACTAAACTCGAAGCTTCTGCATTGGTCGCAAAACTTGATAAGCTGGAGACGGTAATAATGACTGTGCTGTGGGACCGGATACTGCATAGATTTAAGGCAACAAGTGACCAACTCCAAAAAAGCGATATGGATTTAGCTACTGCTCTTGGCCTTTTGCGCTCACTGCTTTCATATGTTGGTACTCTACGAGAACAGTTTCCAGAGCTCGAAGAATCAGCACGCGCGGTCAGTGTGACACAAAACTACCAGTTTGACGCTCAACGTGTGAGAAAAAGAAAGAGATTTGCAGATGAGTCTGCTGATGACAGCGAAGTAGCTTTTAATGACAGCAGTCAGAGATTTAAAGTTGAAACATATTACGTCATAATTGACCGCCTTTGTTCATGCCTATCCAAGCGCATAGAAGCCTACACACATGTGTGTGACCTCTTTGGGGTTTTGTTTGAGAGGGACTGTGACGATTGTGATGTGCGTGTAAGAGCTGCTAAACTGAGCTCCACTTATCCAACAGATCTGGATAGTTCCTTGTCAGATGAACTTATTCAGTTCAAGCACTTTGTACAGTATGAAACTTCACCTGTACAGCAGCTGCAAGCTCTTGACAGACATGGACTTAAGACAACATTTCCGAATGTTTATGTTGCACTAAGACTGTTTTTAACCTTACCTGTATCTAACTGTGAGGGTGAGAGGTCATTTTCTGTTTTGAAACGGGTTAAAAATGAGCTGAGGACCACAATGTCTCAGACACGGCTCTCTGCACTTTCTCTCTTAGCCATTGAACATGAACTTGTTAGTGGCCTTGATTTCGAAGAGATCATACATCAGTTTGCACAGTCAAAGTCCAGAAAAAAGCCAGTATAAGATGCCAAATGAAAGCAAACATGCACTTCCTCATTATTTAGGATTAAAATTTTGTGTTTTGCCAGATTATATACCATTTATTTTATCTCGTCTTCTTCAGAGAAATTGTATTGTGTATTTAGTATTGTGTAGTGTATTTATGTAGCACTAAAATGTTTGACTGGTTAATTGTGCTATAGCATGTTATATTTTAAAACAAGTTCAATGAGCAGAGGACCAAAATGTTGCTTGATCTGTTGTCTGTGGTCTTCTGTGATAGCTCTATCTATTCCATACATTTCTATTGGGAATAAGTGTTGTTAAATAAACAATGGTTTAAAAGTGGTTGCTTATCTATTCATTTTTTGTGAAAATGGAGGATACTTCCTTCCCTCTCAATGTAGTGGGTCAATGTTACCAGATTATACAGATGCTGATGTGTTTTGTTTTCATAGCATCATATGTGAGTGAATATCTTTGATAGGGGACATAGTAGTGCATTCGTAGTTCTATGAGCTTTAAATATTTGTAAATGAAAATACACCTAATGACAGTTAGGATTTGAAGTATTGAGTATATTTACTGTATATTACAGTAATATATCCTATATATGACCATATTATGGTGATCCTGGGGTCGTGATGATGGGGCCCTTGAATATTGTTGCCCAGGGTACAACAAAGTGTTAATCTGGCCCTGCTTCATGACTACAGACGTAAGTGCTACAGGTCTGTAGTCATTGAGTCCTGTGATCCTGGGCTTCTTCGGGACGGGGACAATGATGGAGGATTTGAAGCAGGCCGGGACATGGCAGGACTGCAGAGAGGTGTTGAAAATGTCCGTGAACACAGGAGTAAGCTCACTGGCGCAGTGTCTCAGAGTGGCCGGAGACACGTGGTCCGGGCCAGGAGCTTTGCGGGGGTGCAGCCTCAGGAAGAGTTGTTTAATCTCTTTAGCGGCTATTGTTAGGCTGGGGGCAGGGCTGATGGGTGGGTCGTTAGAGTAGTGGGGGGTGGGGGAGGGAGAGGTGTCAGGGGCAGCATCAAAGCGACTGAAAAATAAGTTCAGTTCGTCAGCTAGCTTGTGGTCGTCAGCACAGGGGGGGGCTTTGGGTTTGTAGTTGGTGATCTCCCGTAGGCCCCTCCAGACAGAAGCAGTATCGTTGTTACCAAACTGCTCCTGTAGTCGTTCTCTGTGCCGGGACTTGGCTGCTTTCAGTTCTCTCCTGAAAAAGAGCCATGTCGACCGTACGAGGCGCCATCTTTTTTAACCTCCCATAACAATGTTTTAGCGTAGTATATAGTGCCGCGCACTGATATGAACGCAGACTTAGCTAGAGGGCGGAGTTATACATGGTAGTGATGTGTTGCGGTGAGTTCTGTGTGTGCGGAGTGAACGGTCGCAGCTGTATGATACACAGATGCCGCAACACACTTGTAAGTAACGCTATGTGTCGTCAATGACAACACTACACAGAACAACAAACACTACAGCGTGATAGAACGCTATATTCAGTGGGTGCGTTCGTAAATGTAATCTGCCGCTCTGAAAGTGCGCGAGCCCAAACCCGGCCCGTGTCCGAGGTCATTATACGGTCATCGGCCCGAAGCCCGGCCCTCGGGCTGTCGGGGCCCTCGGGCCAGGGGCTCAAATGCAGGGCTCTACTCAACAGACTCTGTGATCTCAGACTCTGATCTCAGGCCAGATGTTAGTTACCTCAAACGTCAGCTCGTCGGCGGCTTGAGCGGTGTAGCGTTTGGTCACATGAGCGGCGGCAATGGCGGGAACGTTGATCGAAGCTTCCTCTGACACAAGCAGGTGATTTCCCTTGTTGTCAATCTAATGTAAAAACAAGCAAAAACATGATACAAGCTTTTATGGCTAATTTTACATATTTTTATCAAAGCTGTATTTTTCATGGTAGCCGTCTAATTCATTGATTATTTTTATTTTTTATTTCTATTGGATTTGATTGAATTTATCTTTCTTTTCTCTATATTTTCTTTGATTATGCAAGATGCTGGTTTGGGTGTGCTGTGTGTTGCTATAAATAGGCAGGGTACGGAGTCCTGAGGCGGAGTTTGGAGGCCGCCAGTTTGTGACTGCTCTGTTCTGCTCTATGAGTTTCTGTGCATCTGTGGAAATTGCTTTTGGGTTTTATTGGAACTTGTGGGTCCTCTGCTGCAGAATTCATATTAAATAACCAACAACCATATCTGTAAGTCTGGACTTTGAATTCATTTACAAACAGGGCGTCGATCAGAAGCTAAGGCCCGGGCTGCAAAAGTGACGTGCACTATACTGGGCATGTGGCCTAGTATGTAGCGTCCTTAAATCAACAAAGTCAGAGATTCAGTTTTTCAAACAGTTTTAGAGCATGATCTTGAACATTTGATAAAGAGATAAATAACCATTCTACAGGTGAGACTGGAAATCTGAATATTGTTCAAAAGTCTGTCATACAACTTGAGAAACTATAGACTAATTATCTGGACTTGCAAAGTGAAATATATCAAGCCATTTTTTGTTTTGTTTTAATGATTATATTTTGCTCACAGCTTAAAAACCCCAAATACATTCTCACAAAATTTGAATATTTTGAAAGTGAAAGACTGTAAGCCATAATCATCATAACGTATTAATGACTTATAATCAATCATCATAAGTTATAACAAAGCCTTGCCATATTTCACTGTGTATATAGTGAGTCTATTTTAAGTGGAAATACAGAAATACATTTTTGAACAATCATTTTCAGAGTTTCACCTGTGCATTGTATTCAATAATGCCATATGAAAATATGAAAAGCGATAATATCTCCATAGTGACAGGAGTGCATATACAAGGTTCATGGATATTATTATGTTGCCTGTAAAATGCCACTGGGAAAACTCCACATAAAAAGAATGATTTCTTGGCAAAAAAATCACCCAAATTTAATTTTGAAAGCTCTTTAAGCGCATACTTCACTAAATATCAAAACAATTTCTCACATCCCTTTCCACTTGAGATTGTGTGTTGGCTGAGTCTCCTTCTGCCTCAGAGCTCAGTTTTGGCTCCTTGTATCATTTCTATTCCCAAGGATGGTTTCCACTTCTATCTAATTTTAAGACACCCCGGGACGCTGAGAGTGAGACATAATACTTAAGCAATGTCTCTGAAGAAAATCTAAATCAAATTATACCTCCATCCATGTTAGCACTGGGCCACAGTTGATCTTGTTGTCTGCAATGACTGAGAAGCGGGATAAGTACGTCGCCAGCATTTTTGTTATCACCTGTAGAAAGAAAGAAATCATAAAGTGTCTTTCGGCACTTGTGGTATTTGTAAAGGAAGTTGTAAATACCTCTGCAATGTATTTGGAAGGGTCATATTTGGGCAGCTCAGTGAGTTGGGAGAAGCGTCGGTCGTAGATGCACAGGTGCAGGTGTTTGTCCAGCACCCGGAAGTCTTCATAGGATCTTTTCACCAACCATTGTTTCCCCTTTCATGAAAAAACAGACCAACATTGAACAGGCGTCAAAGTGGCTGTGACATAATTTGAAGTTTATTTAAATCATTAATTTGTTTGCTCACTTTTACTTCACCTCATCCTTGTTCTATCCTCGGCTCAAATTGACCCTGCACAGTGATTAAAAACACTAAATTGAACTTGACCAGATCTGGATCATTCAGATCTTTTTATACCCAAATTTGTGGTCTAAAAGGGTCTAATTTTAATCACTGTGACTGGTCATTGTGACCCGAGGACCGAGCACAGGGTTTTAAGTGGAATAGAGGGTTTTCGGTCATTCAAATTATTCAGTGTTTGTTTGGGAAAAAAATACATTTTGTGCAACGGATACATTGACATTGCTTCATCAATTCACAAGAGAAGACATCCACTAGTAAAATCTTAAACAAAATGTATTACAAAACATGCAAGTACCAACCTTTCACAGCAGTTTATATTGTATATTGTCAAAATTACCTGGCAGGTTATTTGAGCAAAGTAGACTAGGTCTTTAGAATCCAGATTTGCTTTCGGCCCTTCACTCTGATCTTCTTTGAGCATCAACTAAGACAAAAACACAAAATATGCAACACAGACATTGTTATAATATGTATTTGGAATCCTTTTTAAACACAAGTATTGCTGGGACAAGTTCCGAGGCACACAAGCCTAAACACACACTTGTTTCTTGTCTTATTGACAGACGCTAGCATCCAAAAATACAGTACTGAGCCATACAGCGCTTGGGAATAAATTGATGGACAAGAAACTTCAAAGGCCTATAGCCCAGGGAAGTTCTGGATATTTATATCTCACAGCAGCATTTTACAACACACAGCGACCTAGTTATAAACACAGGAAAGAAGCCTAAAAGCAACACCATCAATAAGTAACACATCCGTAACACCATATTTCATATCTTCTCTAAATGAAACAGCCACCTCTGCGCACAATTCCAATTTGGACTAATCACTGATAAATCCTAACTTGTGCCTTACTTGTCCTGATTGGATCTTTGTTTGGTCCAGTTTGGTGGTTGTTAAATCCTCATCTAGTCCAGTTTGGTGCAAGACAAGTGTTTGTACGGCATGAACTGATAATCGTACCTGAATAAGCCAATTAGGTCAATTTCAACACATTCACTGGGGACATATATGCCACATTTGCACAAGATCACTCCCATACACTAGAAAAGCACTCACAGAGTGCAGACCTACACCAAGAGGCACCCCCAAAACTGAACAATCAAATACAACCATAACTTTGTGAGTAATCTTGCAAACTAAGACAGACAAACAAACAACGCAGAGGCAGAGGGAATGCTGTTAGCCGCTGTTCTGCTACATACAATATCAAACAGAAAATTAAAAAAACGCATTTCTCTTCATCCTAACAGCCACATACCTAAGCAATCCCTGCTAACATCACATCTCGGAGCGCCCACGTGCCTCTACTCTCGTGCTCAGCTGCCGTCCCGCACGATCCCGGAGCTCAATAACGTTCTCCGACCAGACAAAATACCGGCCTAGGGGTAGAGGAGTTTAAATGCAGCCCCTTACTCTCCCAACCCCTTTCCATCATGTTATGTAAAACGATCATTCACAGTGCCTTGGCTCGCTATGTGCACGAGTCTATTCACAGCCAGAGGAAATAAAGAGGATGCTAAAGAGGAGTCTTCCCTCATCCCTGCCATTCGATCCACCCCCTGCTCATTATGCAACCCACCCTCACTGTCTCAGCCCGTCTGCATTTTTCTGTCGTATAGAGAGACTTGGCGTAAATATGGTCCAGGGTTTTTACACGTGCTGTACTTTGGACCACATTGACCCTTTAATGGTTTCCTCAAACATTTGGTGGATCAGCTTTTGGGTCACCATATGAGCTTGGAACTGAAATCTACCTCATCGGAGCATCTCTATCACTTGGTTTTAGACACTTTTACCAAGGGTTATTAAAAGTAGCAATATGTAAGATTTTAATGTTAAGTCATCATTAAATAGCCCTGTAAAAAGGCATTAGTAACTGACTGATAACAGTGGTTCAGCCTAGATATTTGGGTTTCAAAATTAGTTTTATAGCCGCTAAATCTTGTTTTTGTTTTCATTTCGATGTCCCGCCCTCCACCGTTTTACCAATCATAAAGTTCGTGATCCGGGTTGCCAGAACTCAACACGTCGAGCTAATCTCACTGGTAAAGTAACATGTGGCCGCAGAACTAAAAAAGGTCTTGTTACGATTCTCAAATCATTAACGACAAAACAAAGTTGTTGGTTAGTTATAGATGTGTTGTTGACAAAACTCCTTATTCTGTTATGGTCCCAGCTGGATTTCTCTGCATATCTGGCAACCTGAGTCAGGGAGAGTGCAGTACCACTTTAGGCCAGATTTTTACATACTGCTCCTTTAATGCTCTTACTTCTTAGAAAATCAAAACAAGAAAAAATGTTTGTTGCTTTTTTCAAGGAGGGTACATTTCCTAAACCGCTCAATTTTCACATCTTAACTTCAAAAGGCTATAACTAAAATGTGATAAGGGATAGAGGCATTCTGTAAATCAGATAAATATTAAGTATGGCCCAAAGTTTGTGTAGGGATTACATTGACCCATCTAATTTGCATATTATGACATCATACGGCAGTGGCAATCATGGATTTTTCTTTAACTGACAGACATTCAAATCACTAGGACATGAAAACACAAACAGAACTCACAGGGAAATAGTAAAAAAGTGCAAATCATAACTGCCCCTACTGCGAGCAGCCTGCCCAGAACCCTGCATCACACATCTGCCATTTTAAACAGTATCGCATCTTGTCGACTTCAGTCAACCGTGGCGCCTGGAGGGTTTAGGGTTAAAAGGTAGAACATCAGGCTTTTCTGTCAGAGATAATCTAAAGCGACCAAGACAGTAGAAAGTGCCAGAGAGCTGTGTTTTTTTGTGCCGACTAGAGATAAGAAACACTAAGAGCATAATCAACACACAAACGTTCGGCCAAAAGCGCCATGACGCTTTGCTTTAGACTAAATAAAGATAGCAGAATAAAAATCAAGTTGTGAAGGGAGAGTGGATGGGAGGCTGGATGGGAGGCCGTGTTAATATGTCCCTAATGTCCACTAACTCGCTGGCCTTGTCTTGCTGCGGCACTCCAAGGTCAGTCAAAGTGCCAGCCATAGCAGCTCACTTCCTCTGGCTGTGCAGATAAAGACATCATGAAGCCCAGGGCGACCGCGGCGGGACATTTTGGGCAAATAGAGCCGTGACGTCCTGGGAGTGAGGGCTTTGCTACATTGAATCACATTATTGGAGTGTGAAGGGAGGCATGGGCTGCTGTCGCTCATGCAATCTTTTGTCTCTGTGAGCGACTGCTGCTCTCTGCTGGCAGCAAAACTGAACTGTAGTCTTAGGGAAAGTGAGCAGAAAATGAAATGCTATGATAGTAATGATAATAATCTGAAGTCGTAATAATAAAACTAATTGTCCTGTCCTTTTGTAAGGCATCTTTGTGAGTCCAAAACGATGTTATATAAGTAGAATGTATTATCAATATTATTACATACCGTTTTGAATGGACAGGGGGGTATACAGGTAATGGTAAATGTAAAATGGTAAACAGGTAAATGTAAATATTATATTTTCCAAACGTTCATTTGCTTCTGTGAGTCAACTTACAATGTGAAACCAACCAAGAACTCATTACACACAAAGTGATACGCCTTTATTTGTTTTAATATTGATGATTGGCTCACATCTCGTAAAAACCCATCTCAGAATATTAATATTTGCATAGTAATCAAAATGGTATCAAACAAAGGCTTGGCATTTGCCCCTTTCATGTAATGAGTCTGGATTATATTTATTTCACAGTTGAATCATAAAATAAATGAACTTTTGAACAATATTTTACATTTCTGAGATTCACCTGTAAATAGACAGTTCAACTATATGGTTTTCGCATCGTGGGTGTTGGGAGATTAGTATATTATATGATATGATCCAATTATTCAATTGAAAATCCACAAAATACTTTTAAGTTGCATTATAATAACACAACAATGTCAAATAAATAATTAGACGTTTTAAACCACTACTTTTCACTTCAAATCCAGGGTGGGTGTTGCCGGTTTTCATTTTTCATTCTAATTTAAATTTTTTGATTTGGAGGGTCCCAGACTGGACCTTTTGGGAACCCCTACAATACGTCTCTAATGCATAAGTGTACTCATTGATTCAAAAGCAGGAGCAGAATTTTCTTTGATATATTTTGCTTCTATAATATTTTGAACTGTTTTCATCCAAGTAATTCACCCTGTGGACCAAACAGTATTAGCCAGGTCTAATTATGAATATATAGTATTAAGTTAATAATAGTATTAAAATCACCTGGACACTGCCAAAATCCACTGTTTCGTAGTGAAAATGAGCGCACTCGGCCAACTTCGGGAAGTGTCCTTTGGAGAATGTTAACCTGCAACACAAAGCACAAACAACACACATGAAGAAGTCTCCGTGGGAATCAGACACATCACGGAGCTGAGAGTTACACAGGCCTCCATCACACTGGCCTGGATAAGAGTCCTGGTTTACAGCCCGTTATAGCAGCAGCAGTCACCAGGAACACCTACTTTTTCATGTTCTTGACTTTCATGCTGGCGGTGCTGACGCAGGAGCGCAGGAGGGGCTCTGGGTGCTCTGTGATGTCATCAGCGGACGCCTGTCCCACCAGACCAAACGAAAGAAATTATACATGTTGTTTATTCCAATAGAATAAATAAAAATAAAAAAACAACAGACACAGCAAGCCAATTGACTGAATGTTCCTCTTTTTCTCCTTGTAAATGGAATGCTCTGCCCAATGATATCAAATGTGTGCTGAACCTGAGCTATTTTAAGACTTTTACCTGCAGTTTACTCTTAAGGTTAGACTTCCTTATCCTTAGGCAGTGTCCTTATTGTCTTTTGTATTGTCTTTTTTCTATTGTCGTTATTGTGTGTGTATATATATATATATATATATATATATATATATATATATATATATATATATATATATATATATATATATATATATATACATATACATATACTGTATATATATTGGTGGTTTGAAAATGAAGGAAAAAAAGTCTTTATGCTGGTACAATAACCTTTACTTGACATCATGGTGTGTGATGAAGTCAGTGTGCGTCAGCTGACATGCTAAAGCTAACCCTGTGTGTTGTGTTGTGTTGTATTGTGTAGTATAGCTGTGGCTGTGTTGCAGAGGGGATGAGTCAGACTGGTGTGGGCATGTACCAGGGCACACAGCGCCTCCCGCTCTTGTTTGTCCTCCAGAGGATTACTGTTGGCAGCTTGAGATGAGCCTTCAGATTTGTCCGGGTCTGAACATGGCAGCACATCTCTGCACACAGCAACAGTTTGTTTAATATACAGAAAAATGAAGGTTTTCTCTTTTGAACTAGATTGTGCAATGTGGCTGTATCAATACTAGTGGGTGTCGGATGGAGAAATGAAAGTTCTGAAGTTTAGTCTTGCCTTGGAGTATTTTTGCATTATTGATATGTTTATAAAGAGGCTAACTTTAACATAGATTGATTTCTGTTTTTCAAAGTAGCCAGAAAGAGAACAAAATTCGAAAAACGAGCCATTCTCATCTGTTGGAGGTTATAAAGGCTACCCACCCACAAGGGAATGCTTCAGATATGCTCAACTTGAAAAGTGACTCAAATGCATTCAGAAGTGAAGGCTGAGGTCCATTGAGCTCATTTTAATGATGAACAAAGAGAGGACAGAAAGACGCCTTTGGCTTATCGCAGCGACACAAGAGCACAAAGCAGAGAAAGAAGTGTAGCTTACCGGTTTATTCTTTCTGTCGCTATAACAACACACATGCAGATATATGTTCCTGTTCTACCTGAATATCATTTTGGATCACAAACGTTAGGAGCATAGTACACATGTTTTGTTATTAGGTATTACTGTTGAGCGGTTGGGTTCATTTTTTTCATTTCTTACTAAACTGTCAAACATTTTTACTTATAATCTCTGCTGATAAAGTACTATATAAACATCTGTAAATACCAGACTACAGTGTATACTCTAGTGTACTATCCACTTACTACTATTACTTCAGTATTTTATTATATTTTATTATCTTCTATAATTGATCTTGTTTCATGTGTGCATTTTGAGTGCCCTAATTTCCTGCTTTCTTATTTTCTGCTGTAATAGACCTTGACATTTCCCCACTGTGGGATGAATACAGGTCTATCTTATCTATCTCTCTTCTCTATCTATTGTTGGGCGTTATACTGGACGATAAAATGAGCTGGAAAACGTACATAGAAATAAAATTATATATAAAAATCAAAAGTGGCCAGAAGTGCAGCCGTACAGGGAAAGGCACAAAAACTGTCAGACAACTTATACAGATCATACTTTATATTGTTTGTTGATGTTGTCTAAGTTGAGCTATGAAGTTAAAGAACGTACCTATAAAACTAACCTTTCTGGCCTTTATTTAGATAAAAGCAAAAACCACACAACTTTTTTCAGGGTTGAAAATAATGTTTGAAGCTATAGATACAATCAACTTCAAATGGATAATAATGTTCAGTGATTGAGATGGAAATTCTAACTTTTGGAATTAAAAATCTTTGAACAGCACTGAAAAATGTTCAGTGCACAACATGGGGTAGATTTAAAATAATTTAATATAGAATCAAATAATGAGGTAAAAATGGTCTTGAATATTTATCAATCATTGGTGCAGACACAAGATACAGTATTTATAGCGTGCGTACAGGCCAAAGAAGGTAGAAATGGGAGAAAAAACATGGTGCTAGCTATCCTGTTTCAATTGGAAGCAGCTGTAAAATAGATTGATGCGTAAGAGTTCATAAGTTTATTCTCTTCCTACTCCTTTTTGAGAACATTGTTGTGTCATGATGTAATGTCGTAATGAAACCTGCATGTTACTCACTGCACAAATACAACCCTTTATTAAATTATTATAGATGAATGATTAACTGACGGCTTGAGTTAAAGCAGGAGAGGAGAAGCCAATCTGGTCTTCTTCTATTTGTATATTTCTGTCAAATGGACGGAGTACAAGGACACACAATGCACATAACACAAGAATGGCGTAGAAAAAGCATCGTAATCATAACTCACCCCTCACGGACGTCACCACTTCCTGGTTCTCCCTGGGCTCCGGAGGCAGCATTCTCGATCACCGCGGCAACCACACATCCAGCCTCCATGATGGCGGCTTATTGCAACAGCCTGAGGAGGACACGCGGAGGAGGGAGGGGCGGGGAGGGGTGTGTGAGTACGCAAGTGCAGAGATACAGCAGACGTAAAGCTAACGGAGGCTGCAGTGATTCTCAAGGCTGCTATATTCCTTCTCTTTCTCTCTCTCATGCACATTACACACATACTGTACACGCACAGACACACACACACGCACATGCACAACGATAATCCATGTTGGCATCATGACACAGAGATGACTGATAATGCATCCACGGCCTCCAAAATGCTACTACAGTCTACTGCCTACTAAACCATTAGCCTGAAAAAATTTTTGATTGATTTGATTTATTCATTTGAGCAGAAATAGGTTGTGTTCCTGTTCTAGAATCATATTTCCGTTGGAAGGCAGATGCCAATAAAACTCTACGGGAAAGAAATACATTAATATACAGTGGTCATCGCGCTCCCTATGGACCAATGGCTTCTATGTGTTTGTTATTAATGCATTTGCTGTGTTGATTCTCTGATCTGTGTTGGCGAATCGACAACTTAATGAAGTAATTTGAAACGACTGCTGTTGTGATTTAAGGCTTTACACAAGTACATGGAATTGATTGAATGGAATTGAGTGGCTGAAACAGAAAAAGTCCAAATGATTTTTGCTCATTATTTGACATTCAACCTCAATATTCATATGTTTTCCGAATGATGTCATCACTTCTGAACATGTTTATGAGAAGATTATTCGACTATTGTTGAGTTGTTCTGACAAAGATGATGTGGTTTTTGACAGTTTAGATTGGCCCAGGAATTACAGAGAAACTAGCTCCAAACTAAGACAGGAAGTTACCATTGTACCGCAGTGTTAATATTAGGAGTGTGACGATATATCGATATCGTGGTGTATTGTGATACTTTCTCATGCGAAAGATTATCGATTTGCTTTTGCCAAGTATTGATTTTTTTTTTATTTTATTGTTTTTAAATTAGTATCAATACATTACGCATCTCCATTCCATTTATCATGAAATAAAGTGTATTTTTTCACTTAACATTTTTCTTTTATTTATGCCAATATTTGAATCCAGAGTTGAAAATTAGTTAATAACTTACACTTATAACTATTTTGTGTTTATTCAGATTGCTTTACTAAAAGATTTCTATAACAGTGTATTTCTGACCAATATATCGATAATCGTCATATTGTGATATAATCGTTATCGTGAGCTTTGTATCGTATCGTGAGGTTCCCGCCCCTAGTTAATATAGGCTCTTTGGAATGTTGTGATGTCACAGGAACACAAACTATTGTTACATTCATGAGTAGTTTACAATATCTACATTCCTTTGTTCATGGAGCTATTGTTGTTTGCACATCTTTCTGTTTCGCCGACTGCACTTGGACAGTATGAGCTGCTTTTACAAATTCCATCCATTTAAAGCCGATCAATTATTCATTCATGTGAAGTGCATTAGGAATATTTACATGTCACAAGGCCTTAGAGTTCAGGAGCCCATTTTCTGCTTGATATATATTTTAAACAAACACAGGAAGGGCAAAGAAAACATGATCTCTGTATGAAAAGAACTTCTTAAGTCAGCAGTTGTTATTTAAAAAGAAACATTCCAACATATTGAGCCGCGTATGACTGATATGAACTTTTGTAAACATAAGGACATCATCAAGGCACCAACATTTTGTCTTTGCAAGATTAGACAGATATTAGACTGTCATAAGCACGAAGGCTGAAGTAAATGTGTGGAAACCTGCTGTGCTGCAGGGAAGACTGACTGGTTTTGTAATTTCAGATCGTATGGGTTTCCTTTCACTTGTGTAAACAGAAAGGAAAAACAGAATATGAAGCAAATACTACAGGGCTGTATTCAAATGACCACATTTTTGGTGTACATTGATTATGGCATCAGTAGATCTGTTGCTATGATACACCAGTAAATACGTATACAGTTCCTGTTTTATCATTGGGCTACGTCCATTCTGCGGCTGGGAATACATGCCCTAACAGTTAGACAGCACTAACTATACTGTACTTATATACAGTATATCAGACGCATTGTTTTGTGACTCTTTGAAATGACAACTACAAGAATAAGTACTGCTTTTATATTTGTGAGAGGAAAGATTCAATCATTAAACAATTTATTTTAATGTCTTTATTTTCAACTGTCACTCCTGATTTGATTGTTTTATTATATGTTTAATGTTTACTCTTTGATGTGGTGCTTGTCAGATCCAATCTAATTTCTAAAAAATACTTTGCTAGAATTACTACTTGTCTTACTGCATGTTAGAGTGATATATTTACCATCTCACTAAACAATAAAATCAGCAGTACTTTGTGCTATAAAAAGATGATCACGTGACTATAAACTATAAAAAGCCTTTTCTGCGTTGAATAAAGGAAACAAAGCTGTTATTTTTTTGCACGCTGTGAATCTTCCCAGCCTCCTGTCTTTGTTTTCTGTCACTTAAATGAGCTTGGTTGACAAAAGGCATGTACAGCAGATAAAGATTGTTTATATAGATTTGTAACTCAAAAGCAGCGCATAAAAACGATACCTTTGTGTAATATAATGTTCTAAAGAAAAAATAGGTCAACTCACACATGCTCACCTACTTCATTCAAATCTGGGTTCTGCAAGGCCAGGGCCGGTGACATAAAGTTTCATGTGTGCTTCTAGAAAGAGGCAAACAGCAGATGTGTCCAAATGACTCACAGCTCCTATATCATGTGAGAGGAAGGACCACATAAGGACAAGGGCAGTAGCCATCTTGCAAGACCACTCCACACACCGAGACTAATTGCAGATATCTAAAGGAGGTCAGAAGGCAACAACAATAATGTGCTAATAACCTTTTGCGGGTTAGTTTGTGTCCAGTGTTGAATGAATCAAGTTGCACCACTCACTCAGATTATGAGAATGTCTTGTCTATGTTGCCGTTTGATTATGCACAAATAATCCTGGCTCCTACTCCCATTACATTATCGTTTTAAATGCCTTGAGGAAGAGAACATGCATAATAGAGTACTATGCATGCACGTCTCTGGGTATGTTGTCATCCAGGCTGCTTTCATGCTATCATCATCCTCAGTGTGGGAATCCAACAAACATGGAGGCCAGAGGCCTGTGGTCGCCATGGCAACCTCCATCCTGGTTTAGACACTATGGATCTGATAGGCCCAGTATCAAACAGCATGGTAATGATGAGTTTTAGAACCGCGTCTTCCCCTTAAACCAGTCCCAGTGTAGTGTGTGCTGAATGACGATGGCATCAGTGCTTCTCTCGCTGTGAGAGGAGGAGCAGTTGTGGTCATATGATCCGTTAATCTTCTTGAAATCTACCAGAGTGAGATTAACTTTATTTCATCTCACATTGGGGTTTGTGACACAGCTCAACTGACAGCAGGGCTGTGATTATGTCTGAGACAAATATTTAATCAACAAAGTCAGCAGTACGTCATCAGCTTTGAAATAAATATATAAGTATATTATCTATTATTATTATATTATCTATTTGTCATCATTTCCTTCTCATACATTATTGGATATAAAAACGTATTGTACTGATCGAACTCACAAAATACCTGTACAAGTTTTACCTGTGACGTATTACATAACAATAGCCATAAGGAGTTTATGCACACCACTTGTAAATAATGTCAGTTGTACATGATTTTGAGTTATTCAGCAATGTCTCTATAGTAAATGTGTTTTTTTTTGGATTTATTTACAGAAAGTTTAACTTTGACCAGTGACATTCAAGAATGCCAGCCTCTATTAAAGTGCAGTGTGACCACGTTGTTCCGTGGTCATAAGGGAAAAGTTGCTCCTGCTCGTCCTCATGTACTCTGACCTGTTGGGCCTCACAGATGAGGAACCTCTGGCTGATTGGCGGATCATTGTCACAACAGCAGAATCACGCACTAAATGGGCCGGGACCATGGCCGGGACGCCCTGCGCCCTGACGCTGGATACATATTGCTTCTTGCTTATAGTCATAAGATCCGTGTGTGCTCCAGCTTACCTGTGCTGCTGCACGGTGCTGCAGACTGCCGCCTCTCTGCGCCGCGTCTTCTCAACGAGGAAACATTTGGAGAGCATCGCCGAGCTGCACAGCCGCACACGGAGCCGACCACAGGCGCCTGGAGAAGGGGAGGGATGCTCCAGCTTTTACCACGGCTTTATTCCTCGCTGCGACATTTGCGATGAGCTGTGTGGACTGTCTCCTGCTGTCCACAGCTGAGGAACTGCACAGCCGGCACGGGCGCGCGCACCAGTCCTCTCGGGAGCGCGCAGGGGTTATTTTAGCCTCTGGTCTCCTCAGACCTTTGTAACATACATCCGGGCGCACTGCTGACATAGGTGGTAGTATTCAGATGTGTGCCAGGAGGTTTGGTCAGATAAAAGCCCAGAGAGCGCAGTGTGGTCGTGAGTGTTGGGTTAGATAATGCCCCACGCGTTACATAATCAGTGGAGGTGGATGACAGCAGTGGGCACAGCTCACTGTGCGCTGTACTGTCTACTGTCTTATACTGTCTTATTCTCGCATCATCGTTGATATGCCACCATGTCAAAGACTCATTATTTATTCTTATTAAAACAGTGAAATAAGAAATAAAGGAAACGAAATGATCCAACAATATAGAGCAGCAATTGTTAAAGATGTATTTGATTTTCCGTAAAGTCAGTTGCTTATACACACCAAATAATAATTCCATGGCCTTCAAGCCAGATAACACCTTCCCCAAATGTGAAGCATGGCGTGGCACTGGCAGTCTCATTGTGGAGCTGTTTTACTGCAGGAGCTGATGCACTTCTTAGAGCGAAGAAGGAACACTATGTAGAAATAGTGAAGCAACATCAAGACCTCAGCAAAAATTGGGACTTCTAAATGGACAATGGTCAACATATCTATCTACACGTGTAGTGGCGTCAGGATCAGGGCAGTACAGTGCTTTACATGTCAACGCTCAAGCCCAAAGCAATGTTATAGGAAGATCTCAAAAGGTGAGAGTGAGGTGGCCTTCAAACGGACTTATTTATCCAGTTATCCAGTGTAATGGGCCGAGCTCCAGCCAACAATGGAGAAGATTGTGGGAGGGGTACCCAAAACAGTTTTAAAGGGAAAAAGGAAAAAATAAATGCAAAACTGACTTGAAAGTAATAAAACTTTATTGTGGAAATACCTGATCTATTTATTTTACTTCAGACAGTGAGATCAAAATCCTGCATGTCTTATAAATGCAAACTACACTACACTCACACCACCCACACACATACATTAGACTATAGCTCTGTTGCACTCACGAGCTGACGCTCTTTCATGTCCATAGGTCCCCAGGCTTGCAGATGATTTGTTTATTTCTTTCCCAGCATGCCCTGTAGAATTGGAACATAGGACAAAGGTCATTCCGACGGTCTTCATTTACTTTAAAGTTTCCTTTTGTCTGGTTCTTTCACTGCACAGTCATCACTCTTTATGGTTTGTTTACAGATGTCGACCCTGTTCTTCTAATTGTTAATCATTATACATGAAGTTGTTGAACAGATTTCACAATTTCAAGTATAAAATAATGCCATAAGAGGCGATATTTATACAAGCCTTGTATTCCAAAGTAAAAATTTAAGCCACCATACAGGAGCATTATTATCCTACATCAAACTATTGATATGTATTTCCCTGTTGTTGTGCGTCTTTACGGTCTTGACCAGCCCAACACTGACCCCCTGTGGTCACACACTGAACTGCACCTCTCACCACACCGTCAGTGGCTACAGGGACAAATCACCACCAAATAATCTTTAGATTTTTTTATTATATCAAAATACAAAAATTTGAGAGGAAAATTTATATGGAGCTAAGCATTTGACATGATATGATGACAAGATGTCGTACAACACTGCGTTCTGGCCACAGACAGAGCATAGATCATGTGCTAGGTCCTTAGCTTCTATAACCAAGCCATTTCCTGTAGAAGGCTTCATGGCGACCATCACCAAAGCAGTTGTCTCAAACCTATGCTGTTTTACATTTAAATTAGGCTTTGAAATGCACCAGAGCCATGGCAGTTGAGGTGAAAATGAGTTTAGACAGTTCACTGGACAGCAAATGAGAAAAAGTAATACAAATAGTATACATAAGGCTTTGGTACAGCACCATACAGTATGAGTTAATTGCTTACAAAAAAGTTAATTGAAGCATACCTGATGACAGAAATAAATGACAATCCTACAAAACATAAAAAAACATCCGGTTATTTTTATACAAAGAAAGTAAAAAATGCCTCTTGATATTTACATATGAACATTATCTGATCATGTAATGAAACATAAATATGTAAACATGTAATGCACAGCACAGAGACCCTTGTATGAAAATGAAATGTGGTTAATTTTTTTCTCCTCCAAGCAACTTGGTTTGAGTTTGAACAATAAGCTAAAACAGTCAACAATGTAGTGCTTATAGTAGCCTACCATAATATTACATTCTAGTTTCTCAGTGCTGGTACACATGAAAAAACAGAGAATATAGAAAATACTACATAGTCTATTTTTCTGTCCTTTAACAACCAGTTTGTCCATGAATGATTGCTAAATAGGCGTTTCTGTATTGTCTCTACATGCAAGATTAATACAATAGAAAACAAATCTAAATACCGTTCTATCAGCACCTAGAGATGCAGTATAAGCTGTAAGCAGACACTTCTGAAAAACAAATTGTACTAACATTTTTTTAAAGAATCATAAAAACAGTTAAATCAAATAAAATGGGTAAGAAAACCATACATCCAAAGCAGCCCTCTTTCACACGATACATGATGGAGAATGCAAGGATCCAGGAAGACAGTGTCCATTTTATCAAACCCACAGTGAGAATGAATGGGTTTTGTCATTAGTGTGACAGGTGCAGAGTGATGGCTAATAATGGTTTCTTGGTGTGCTTGAGCCTTTGCCAACCAAAGATGGAAGATGGCTTACAAAAGATCTCTATGCTCACAGATTCCCTGGCTTGTCTATACTCTAAAAGACTAGTGGAAACAGCTCGATTTTGTTTTTTCTTGTTTTTCCCATAGGCTGGATTAAAGTTGTCATCACAAGTATACTTTAGAGAGAGGGTACCTTGGAAGCACAGACAGACATTGCAAACACGCTATAAAACAGGTCATCTTGAGATTGTTTTGAAAGTAGTATAACACGTTTAGTATCAGAGAATATACTGCCGTACTTCTACTTTACAGTATTGTCTAGCACTGTTGTCACACTGTTATGAGAAGGACCTAGTGTCTTCCTCCAACACGAAGGGCTGAAGAGTTTCTCATAGAAAAACAAAAGAATCTTGAGACCTCTATTCTACAGCACCACAAAGTTAAACATAGCACCAAGTTGTAATGTTTCAAAGCAACTATGCCCTAAGACGCTTGTCTGTATCAAACTAATGTAAACACGTTTCCTGCACAGCACATATTGTACATGACTATAGCATGTCTGTGACTCGTAAAAAAGATTCTGTATATATTTACTGTGGACACGCACAGATCTGGAGTGAATCTACATGTGTGCTCATTGACAGGGAAAATGTCCAGAATTATTAGAGGGCAACACACTTTTGCTTCTAAAGCTTTTCAATGAGTATTCAGTCTATTCACCAAATATACATGTGAGAAAATACTAATCAGCTTGTGCAGCTAGCGGGCTATGGCAATAATACAATGTACTAACATTACAGTTACTTTTGTTCTTCAATAAAATAATGTCTTCTAAAGTATGACAAATGAGGCACCTTCAATGTTTTTCAAACATTATCCACTTAAAGCCGTACTGTAAGCAAATACCTTTATATATATTATAATCTAATTTCTTTAGAGGGATCTTCCCTTCTTTTTCATACATCCTTATACAAGAAGGTTTTCTGTAAAACTGTCATTTGATTATTCTTTACAAATACAGTACACACCATGTACAGTACATAACAAATATAGAGTTTTTCCTCATATCTTACAATAAACCGATTAGTAAAATACGCACTTTGGCGCATTCTCTGGACCCCAGACAATCAGTGTCTAACTGGAGATACACAGTTCCATTATGAAGTCAATACATCACTAAATTCAAGTGGATATTTGTCGGACAGCCAGTTTTGTTAGTAGCCGATGAAACATGATTGTTTTAACTGTAAAGTGAAGAGATTTGAAGTCTGTGGCAAAACAAAGGGGAGCTCAGAACCAGCTGCACTTCAGACCTCATTAGACCTTTTCTGAACCAAATGGTTTGCGGTGAGCAACATTGTCAATGTTCCGTGACATTGCGACATTCATTTCCTGTACAGAAAAAAAACATACATTCATAATCGGTTAGTGTGTAAAAAAAAAAAAAAATACATAGAAGTATCTAGCACACAATACATAAACAGTCAAGAGTGGCATTTGCAAAAGTAACAGCAATTCAATGACTCAAGTACATTCTCTGAACAGCTGTAGTTACACATCACAGCGTCACCGCCGCGTTTTTGTACATCTCATCGCACTGCATTACACCTGCCAACAAGAGTTTATGTTGCTTTCCAAAGTTTGTCTTTTCTCAATAGTCAGGTACGCACAGTTTAAGTAGGTATAGATTCTGATTTTGCATGTGAAAATACAGTTGTGTTGAGTTAGATTTATATGTCCTTGGCAGAAAAAATAAAACATAGAAAGCTTGCCCTCACTTCAAAGAGATAAATATAACAAGGCAAAAAAAGGCAGCTCTTATGTCAGAAAAATAAGAGAAAGGCTAAAGGCATCGTTCAGCGTGCCATATGATCACAAATGATCCTCAATAATAAAATACATACAGTACATACTAGTCTTTAGTCTCTACTGAGCACTGAAGTCCCAAATTGTTTTGCACATCCTTGTGAAGGCTACGGTTTTCTGTTGTGCTAGAATGAGCTGTTAAGCATTTAAAATAAAACGTTGTTTCTTTTTAAATTAAAACATGATACGTCACTTATTTATTACTGATGGATGTTTTCAGGAAATTTGTCAAGTTAAGGGCTTGTCTTTTTTGTATCAGAAACTGAGGCATGTTGCCTTCTAATCACATGGTTTCTATGTAAAAAGGTCAAGTACAGTATACCACAAGAATGATAGCAACTCTGCATTTACTCTGAGGTATATTTTGTGGTAAAACCCTGTCTATAACTGTTACTATTTGTAATGTAAGAAGGTAGATTTAGGTCCCTGTCCAAGGACCAACCAGGCTTAACAGTACTGAAAAACATTAAGGACTCTCAATGATGCACAAGCAAAAACCTTTTCCTGTGTTGTGACCTAAACAACCAACACATTTACATTATTGAAAGAGGAAGCTGGATTCCCTTGTTTTACTATTATATACATCACATACTTTCAAAGCATTTTCAAGCGAGATTCGGAGACAGAGTGGGATAATAGAGCAGTAAATTGCAATGGTTTGTCTTTACATACGATTCCCACCCACAGAGGATTTTTTGTGCTGCCTGAATTGCAATGAGCTTTTGTGAAGATAAGAAATATTCTCTTATTGCAGAGAGTGGGGTAGATGGACCATTTCAGGGGTGGGACTGAGTTAGTCAAATCCAATGGCTTGTCCTTAGTGACAGTGTCACACGGGTCAGTGGAGAGTCCCGTAGTTGAGGCCCTCTGAGTCTGCACTGGCCAGGATGCCTGTCTGATCCTCCTCAGACGGCTTGCGGTGCAGGAGTGCGGCCAAATACTCATAGGGGGTCTTATTCTGTCGTTTCATCTTTCTGTGGAAGTGGAGGTCCGGTTCCTCTGGTTGTCTCTGAGAAAGCTGCTGGATCTGAGAGGATGCCACACCTGGTGTGAGGAATCAAACAACATTTGTGAAACTGTGTGTTAATGTCATAATTAAGTATCACCAAAGTCACAAATGGAAATGTATAACAAATAGGAAATTAGCATTTTCATTGAAATGACAGACCTGTTTTCCCTGTGGAGTTTATGTTGTTATTATTGTTAGCAGCTGCTCCCTTAGTTTTAGTGATGCAGTGGTGTAGCAGTGCTGGTAAACTCTCAGAGCCGGCAGGATCCGCAGACGCACCTAGAGGTTCCCTGAGTGAACAGAGGCACAGCAGTGTACTGCATTAACAATCAGCTCTGCAGTTACTGCCACTATCCTTGCTATCTCCCAAGATGACTATGAGCAGATGAGATGTCTAACTTATATTGGGATGGTCAACAAGAAATATGTAATTTTAAATGTTATCTAGTATGTAATGACAGATGAAAGCCAGACGAAATGCAAATGATGGAATATCAAATTAAATATGTACATATAAATGCAAGTGTGTATGCATACATATGTGTGTGTGTGTGTGTGTTATAAGAATATAGTCATAATGTTTTGTCCCATAAGCCGTAAAAATAATTCTGTTGTCAAAGATTTTCTCACACTAACTGGACACAGCGGTCATCTCTTTCTTTGAAAATGTAACAGACAGCTTTGGGAGATGAGCAAGTTTTCCAATCTTCACAAAGAAAATGAAGAAATATGGAATGCTCATTATGGATGTGAGGCTTTTGTTTTTCTAAATATTTCCACCTCCGAGCAATTAACCCTTGCTTTGTGTATGTGTTATACTTGGATTAATGAGTTCAAAACACAAGCAACTAAATTGAGTTTCTGTAAATGACATTTGAACAGAAAACGCGAAGCTTTAGATGTTGTCCTTCACTGACACTGTGGAGAAAAAGACTGAGAGCCATTATCAGAGAATTCAACACTTGTGAAAACAGATGCAGAACATTTTCATTGTACTGAGAAGAAGCCTGCGCTTAATGGTTAATATTGTCTCCATTGACAAAACACTGTACAGCACAGTATAATCAACATGAACACTGCGTACAGAGGCTTCACCATGCTGACGGGAGGAGATGGCAGGAAGAGGAAATGCCGTTAAGAACAGTCACATGACGAGAAAAGGTAATGGCCAATAAAACATTAAAATGACAGAAGAACAAAAGCACTAAGACAACAAAAGTGACAGATTTTAGTTTGAAGTTGCTGTTATTTGATTGGTAATAGAAGTTTAGAGAATGCATGCATGGCATTTTGCACATGGAACAAAACTTTAAAGGGGAATACTGAAGAATGTCATTTGTGTGTGTCCTCCATTGATTCAAGATATTTCTGTCTACAAATGATACAAATGTCTGTCTGTAATGGTCCCATGTAGCTGCATTACTGCAGTCTTTCCCACAGTAACTTTACTGTGTAGAACTGCAGTAGATGAGCTGCAGTTACTATTAACAGCACTTGACTTGAATCTGGCACAGAGGCACAACCCAAAGCGATTCCCCTTTAAAGAACATAGTGATTAGAGCCCTCCCCCTGCTGACCCCTCCCCGTTCAGACATGGGTCCGACCCTTACCTATTGCGGCGTAGGGGACCGGGTCACAACACCGCTGCCCAGATAGCTGAATCAAAAACAAATCAGGTAAGACCCTGCCTGCTAATTGGCCAGAGATGGTGCAGCAGCGTGTCTCTGCTCCATAACTAGGATTGTTGTGTTTAGGGGGCAAAAGTCTAGCCTGTTTACCGGTTTGCCACAAAAAATCCCAAACAAACAGATATCTAAACCAAAACAGGCTGTTGTTGTAAACATAAGTAAGCTATCACTAGTTTGACAGAATTAAGTGCTGTGTTTTGTACATCATTACGCTATTAAATGGATTTAAAGATAATGTGCTAAATGCAAATACATGCCCTCTGCATATTACACAACAATATGCAAATAAGATAAAGGGATACTCTTAAGTGCATACTCGGAAAGGGGCAGAGATAGGTCTTTGTGGATCACCTACCCTGAGGCTGTAACATGGAGCTGAGAGGGCTCTGAGGGCAGCATCTCCTCCTCTGTCCGTCTTTGGGACGGCCTCTGCCCGAACACATCCCTGCCCTCAGAAGGGGGAGAGGGGGACTGGGATGGATAACTGGCTGCAGTGGAGGCGTACGACATGTGAGCATGGAAACTGGGGCTGGGGTGTCTGGCCTGGACCTGCGTGGGTGAGGCTGTAAGGGAGGACCTCCGTGTGAAGGAGACTGTAGCTGAGGGCTGAAGAGTGATCTCAGGCATCTCCAGAGAGCGGGAGGTGCGCAGGATGGTGGGACGGGGTGGGGGGCGCACTAAAATGTCTGGGGAACCAGGCTGGGTGCTTAAGGGGCTTTGGGACAGAGGAGAAAGTCGGGACGGTTGAAGTACTAAAGGGGGTAGACTTGGATCTGCCCGGCGTCCCGCCCGTGGGCTCAGCCATGACTGAGGGCTACTACTTGGGGCTGTGCTTGGGCTCCCTACGCGGGCCGCCGGGTCAGAGTAAGGCAACACTGGTACACCCACACCGTGGGCCGTGTGTCTGAGCTGGCCGACACTCTGGGCTTGTTGCATAGTTAGACGCCTCATGGGAGGCCCCAGGGGCCCCAAGGGTCCTATGGACCGGTCTCTGCCGGGGGGAGCCATAGGGACCTCCAGCTGCAGAAGTCCAGTGCTGGTTGGGTCCTTGAGGGGAGGCAAGTGCAAGCGGCCTGGTGGATATGGTGGCGGCTCAGGGAGATCCTGGGCGTGGTGCAGGGTGTGGTGAGGGTACATGAAGCGAGAAGCCTCTAGGCCCAGGAAAGGCAGCTCGTGAGGCTGCCAGCTCTCAGGTGAGTGAGGAGGACTGTGAGTGTGTGATAGAGAATGGCCAGAGGCAGTGTACTGATGATGCTCCAGCCCTTCACTCTCCTCAGGGATGGAGGGGTAACCAAAGGGCCCCTCGCCGATGCCCGGAGGCGAGGACAAAGCAGAGCTGCGTGGGCTCATATCTGGCATGTAGAATGGTGGTGGGATCCCTGAATCCCCACGGCTGCCTAGATACCCATAGAAAGGTCCCTGGGGGAAGCCCCTGTAGCGGGAGGCTGGAGCCTGCCCTGAAGCGTGAAGTGCACTGCCCTCTCCAAAGCTCATACCTTCCATGGGCCTGTGCAGCCGGGGGCTGTAGTTGGGGGGCTGCATGGACTCCAGACTTGAGGATGTTGGGGAGAGCTGAGGCCTCAGAGTGGGCATGATGGGTGGCAGTGGCCCAGGGTCAAAATCATTTTCCTCATCTGACTGGCGGAACTCCGGGTACATGTCCGACTCCTCTGCAAAGGGGAAGCCCTGGATGCGCCGATGTGGGGGACTCTCCATTACAAAGCGGCCATCAGGACCCCGGCTTATCAGCTCTATTGGAGTAGTGACCTCTGCCTCATGTTTAGACACGCTGTATTTCTTGCTGGCTATGGCCCGCTTTGTTTTCTTATAGAAGGAAAGCTCTTTTTCTTTTTCTCTTTGAGGGCTAGGCAACTTGCGGACATACAGGCCAGGACCATGGGATCCATCTGAAGAGAGAGAACGGGGCCGAGATGGAGGGGAACTCTCTGGACTAATCTTCCCAGATGATAACCTAAGAAGACAGACATAGAGTGTATTATTGAGGACAATATTAAATGACAACATACAGTACAGTATTATAAAAACTAATTAAAATATGAAACACATTGAAACATTCCAAATAAAAGCATGATTAAAAAAAAATAACCTGTTGATGACATGAATGATGACATTAAGATTGGAAAGTAACTAATGAATCCAGCCACAATGACAGGATGAGAGAAGAATCAAAGACGCAACCATACGCAAAGTGAGAACAGCTTCAATATGCTGCACCAAAAGGTGATGTGAGAGAAAGCAAAATGAACCTAACCAGGCCTCTTTGCCCATACAGGAGCAGCATAGTCAGCGTGTCAGCTCCTTCTAGGTCACGTAGTGCTTCTGTATAAAAAGATATTTACTATTCTGCACATTACATGCAGCTGTTTGACTCTTCTCTACACGCTGAACATGCAAGTAGGATTTACTGCCACCAAAACTCATTTAGGATCATTACTATGCATTGCATTACATGCAGCCAAGCCAGTGCAGTGCAGGCACTCACAGGGGGCTGGCGGGCGGGGGCAAGAAACTGCTCCTGGCAGACTCATCCCAGCAGGGCTCTACCCCAGGCAAAGGGGTAAGAGGAGGCCTGCGGTGGGAGACAAATGACAAGGGCCTGGTTCATTCCACTTTAGTACAAAGGGGTAAAGTCCCTAGCCTTCCTTTCCTAACCCATTTTATAAATGACCTTAGAGGTATAATAACCTAATGTCCCACTTTGGTCTTTACTTCTTCTTTGTAACAAGATTTACACATTGCCATAGAGGATGCCATAAGTTAATTATACGCAATCATTATGTATTTTTACACATGTAAAGACAGACAAATACATCATGTGGTGGGTGTGTACAATTGATGTGCCTCCAAAACAAATATGTTTTCTCCTAATAAACATTCATGCAGCAAGCAAACAGCATTTGAGGTTAGAGTATACAGACAGATCAAAAATCAATACAAATACTGCAGCCTGGGCACTGGGTTGTTTGTCGAGATTGCTTACGAGGCAGTTCTGCCTCAGCCTCACCCTCTGCTAGAGGTTGCATCTGCCCATGTCTATTCCTGTATCTATTTCTTCTACTGCTTTTTCAGATTATTATTTGTGGTGTGTCTCCTCCATCTCTTTACATATTTCGGCCACTTTATTTCATTCATAAAATGTATTTTCTTATTTCCTATGAAGTGGCAAATGCAGAGAAGAGAGAAGTTGCACTGTAGTCACAAAAACAGTGGATTTACTTACGGTGAATCTATGCTTTTCCTGAAGTGTGTCACAGACAAAGGGGGATCTGTGATGACAAATACATATTCATTAAAATCACTAGTTTTTCACTGGCCTTACTGGACACAGTCTGGCAGACAAACCTGGTTTACGCTTTAGCTTGCGACGATGTTGCTTGTTTACAAAGCAAGCTGCTAGAGTGCTAAACAGTACAGCTGCTGCCAGAAAGCAGATAGTTGCCACAACACCCGCCACCACAGGCCGAGCCAGGCCCTCATCAGTCAACTCTGCATGGGGAAACGGATCTAGCAAAGCAGACAGGAGATAAAAACATATACATCAAACAATCTAAATAAATAATTGAATCTATTAGAACTTACCCGTACTCGACACTCCAACGACATTACTGCTCTCACTGATCAGATCGTCCATGACAGCCATCACTCGAAATTCATACCACGCTTCCTATTGCATATGCAAAAATGTTACAAAATATAAGCAGTTGATATACAGTAATTCAATTTTACTGTATCTTATTTTTAGTACAGTTTATTTGTTTGTTTTGGGTCTGGATATAAAAAGCTCTGTTCTGTGCTACAGGTACAGACAGAGTACACATGCTGCTGCTCAGACTGAGCCCTGATTCATCATTTTCTGACAGTGCTGAGGATTAGGCAACGATTTGACCAAATAAACTGGCATCTTAAATGAGATACACGTGTGATGCTCATTCTGCTTTCTTATTGGATAATTAACATGACAACAAAGAAGATAAAACCATAAACGGTGTAGAGCAGGAATGTCTAAAGCAGTGTCTCCCAAAGTGGGGTCCGCGGCCCCCTGGTGGGCCGCGAGGGTACTGCAGGGGGGCCGCGGGAGGTCATAAAAAAAAAAATATAATTATTTAATGTTAAATTTATAATGTTTTGTTTGTAATATTAAAATATTTGTGTTCATTATTTGACTTGAATAATCCACTGTAATCATTTTTGTATTACAATGTTTGTAGCAGAGGCTATTTCCCCAAAATAAAATAACCAGAAGAGCCTATTCTTAATGTTGTCTTCTTGGTTATTATTTTGGGGGGCCACGCAGACCCGTCAGATTTTTAAGGGGGCCTCGGTGTTACTGAGTTTGGGAATGGCTGGTCTAAAGGATGTCATCGTGTGTGGCCATTGAGATCATGACGTCTTGAATCCAATCCTTTGTTTGATACATGTGCTTGTGATTGTGGCACAACATTCTGTGATTGGCGCTAATAGTGAGAATTTAAACATTTGTCATTCTGCAGGTTAACTAAAGTTGCTCTCTTACTGATATGTTTGGGCACCCCTGATGTTTGGAAAACCCCTCATGGCCACTATTATCCACAAAGTCGGCAAAAAATCAGATCACAGCTGCATTTGAACTTTCAAGTTGAACCTGGTTCTTTATATTCCACAAACGTGATGAAGTGGCCTCACCTGAACAAGATCTCTGGCTATCAGCTCAGTCTCTGTGGAAGAGATCAAGTCGTCCAGGACTTCCCACTTCTCTCCAAGGCGAAACTCCATGATGTAGCGGTCAACGGGGGAAGAGTGGTTGGCTGGTGGGAGCCACGTGAGGAGTACCCCTTGCTGAGTACGGTTGGCTGTGAGGCACCGTGGTGGAGTAAGAAGCACCAGAGGTTCTGGGGTGCCCAGAGGAGAGCCTGCACAAGAAAACCACACACCAATGGTAGAGACCACATTTAAATCCAACCAAAAAATGAATTACCAATGCAACTTTTTGACCTTCAACTGATGATTTTTTTATTTAAGAAAGAGCACTTACGTTCATGAATAAAAAGTTATGTAATATAAATTCTAAATGCTGTGAGGACAATAAAAAAATATTACAAATAATTCCTTCAAAAAAACTTGCATGGATTAGCTGTAACAGACCTGGTCCCTAATTTATGAAACTTGCGCAGAAAATACAACGTGGGATTTATGAACATGTGAGATCTGCCCAGATCTGAGCGTAAGCACCTGCTGCTGGCGATAAAAGCGGCGGCTGAAAACTAACGTATTTAAATACATTTCTACAATTTGGAAGCCTCAAAAGTGACAGATTGGGCCAATTGTTAGAATTTATTAATTTATGCCTACAGGTGAAAAAAAAATAGAGTGACCTTAAAATGGCAACAAAACGGCGTTGAGCAGCCCATAAAATAAATGCTCAGCAGACCAGGGGAGGACAGACAGACCAAAGCATCCAAAAGAAAATAAAATAATTCTATTATTTTCTAGTATTTGTGTGATTATTCTTTTTAAATAGTTGAATGAGAGCCTGTCTGAGCTGTACAGGCCGAACTTAGTGAAGGCGGTGCTGGCCATGGTCTCTCATCCATAGGCTGCTCAACCAGCGCATACAATGCACACCGTGGTCCTGTGCCATGTTGTGGAGGACTGAGCCAGGATCATATGGCACACTTTCTCCGGGAAGTACGAGAGCATACCCCCTGCATGTCCCATGGGCATTAGAGCTGTTTTCCTTTGATCAGACCCGCTCAGCGCTCCCAAGTGGCGCGCGTCTTCGCTTGGACCTGCATGAACCAATTCCCTTTGCGCACTGATTGTAGGTGATCAATTTTAGGTGCTACATATAACATCCACATATTTGTGGGAGACTATTGAGTTTTACGTCTTGCACGTTATCAAATAACACAAACAATCGGCATAGCATATCAAACATAACTTTGTGAAATTGCATATTTGTAATGTGAGAGGTATGCCTATAATTTTGTCAAAGTGGGAATATGTTTATTGTTGTCCAAATGAATTGAATTGAATTTTGTGCATGTTTTTTGCGTCCTGTGATTTACGCCACCTCCTGACTTGTGTATATTTTGTGCGTATCATACGCAAGTTTCATAAATGACGGCCCTGCTTTCTACACTATACCATGCCCCTTTACAAGGTGTCAATTCTATCTATCCATCCATCCATCCATTTTCTTCCGCTTCATCGCGGGGGTAGCAGTCTAAGCAGAGACGCCCAGACTTCAATATCCCCAGGCCAGCTGAGAGACATAGTCCCTCCAGCATGTCCTGGGTCTTCCCCGGGGCCTCCTTCCTCCCAGGGAGGTGTCCAGGAGGCATCCGGAACAGATGCCTGAGCCACCTCAACTGGTTCCTCTCGACGTGGAGGAGCAGCGGCTCTACTCCGAGCTCCTCCCGTGTGACCGAGCTCCTAACCCCATCTCTAAGGGAGCATCCAGCCACTCTGCGGAAGAAGCTCATTTTGACCGCTTGTATCCGCGATCTCGTTCTTTCGGTCGTTACCCAAAGCTCATGACCATAGGTGAGGGAGGGAACGAAGATTGACCGATAAATCGAGAGCTTTGCCTTTCGGCTCAGCTCCCTCTTCACCACAACGGTGCGATACAGCGACCGCATCACTGCGCACGCTGCACCGATCCGCCTGTCAATCTCACGCTCCATCCTTCCCTCACTCGTGAACAAGACCCCGAGATACTTGACCCCCGAGATACCTGGAGAGGGCAAGGCACCTTTTTCCGGTCGAGCACCATGGCCTCAGATTTGGAGGTGCTGATTCTCATCCCAGCCGCTTCACACTCGGCTGCAAACCGTCCCAGAGCATGTTGTAGGTCCTGGTTCGTTGGAGCCAACAGGACAACATCGTCTGCAAACAGCAGAGATGAAATCCTGTGGTCCCCGAACCGGACCCCTCCGGCCCCTGGCTGCAGCTAGAAATTCTGTCCATAAACACAGTGAACAGAACCGGTGACAAAGGGCAGCCTTAGCGGAGTACAACATGCACCGGGAACAGGTCTGACTTACTGCTGGCAATGCGAACGCAGCTCTGGCTCCGGTCATACAGGGACCGGACGGCCCTCTGCAGAGGACCCCAAACCCCGTACTCCCGGAGAACCCCCCAAAGGACACCCCGGGGAACACGGTCGAACGCCTTCTACATGTGGACTGGTTGGGCGAACTCCCGTGAACCCTCGAGTGTCCGATGGAGAGTATAGAGCTGGTCCAGTGTTCCGCGGCCGGGACGAAAACCACACTGCTCCTCCTGAATCCGAGATTCGACCATCGGTCGTAGTCTCCTCTCCAGTACCTTGGAGTAGACCTTACCGGGGAGGCTGAGGAATGTGATCCCACGATAATTGGAACACACCCTCCGACCCCCCTTCTTATAGAGAGGGACCACCACCCCGGTCTGCCACTCCATTGGCACCGCCCCCGATCGCCACGCGATGTCACAGAGACGTGTCAGCCAAGACAGTCCTACAACATCCAGAGACTTTAGATAGTCAGGACGAATCTCACCCACTCCCGGCGCCTTCCCACCATGGCGGCTGCCAACCACCTTGGTGACCTCAGCCAGGGAAGTATCCGCCCCAACATCCTCAGCCTCTGCCTCCGGGACGGAGGACATGACAAGGGGATTGAGGAGAACCTCGAAGTATTCCTTCCACCGCCCGACAATATCCCCAGTTGAGGTCAGCAGCTCTCCACCAGAGATCTTGCGACCACAGCTACGAGCCGCCGCATCGGCGATAGAGGAAGAGAACATGGTCCACTCAGACTTAATGTCCCCCTCCTCCGCCGGGACCTGGGAGAAGCTCTTCCGGAGGTGTGAGTTGAAAGTCCGTCTGACAGGGGGCTCAGCGAGACGTTCCCAGCAAACCCTCACTACACGCTTGGGTCTGCCAGGTCTGACCGGCTTCCTCCCCTGCCAGCGGATCCAACTCACGACCAGGTGATGATTGGTTGACAGCTCCACCCCTCTCTTCACCCGAGTGTCCGAGACACACGGTCGAAGGTCAGATGATACGACTACAAAGTCGATCATCGAACTGTCGCATGGCGCCGTAAAGATGGCGCCGTGGCAAGAGCTCTGGTGTGTGTCGTCTGGTGCACACTGGGGTAGTCTTGCACAGTTTTTCCAATGTGGTTTTACTGCCAATGACAAATAAATGAATCTGAATCTGAATCTGAACTCCAGCCTAGGGTGTCCTGGTGCTACGTGCACTGGTGGACACCCTTGTGCTCGAACATGGTGTTCGTGATGGACAAACCGTGACTGGCACAGAAGTCCAACAAATGAACACCGCTCGGGTTCAGATCAGGGGGGCCGTTCTTCCCGATCACCCCTGTCCAAGTATCACTGGCATTTCCCACATGGGCGTTGAAGTCTCCCAGGAGAATAACGGAGTCCCCGGACGGTGCACTGTCCAGTACACCTCCCAAGGATTCCAGTACTCTGCACTGCTGTTAGGCCCATAGGCCGTCACAACAATGAGAGACTTACTGCTAATTTACACATCACGCGTTACAGTACGTACGCGTTATACGCGCAGCAGACGCGCGTAACTTTTTTCCATGTTAACCTATGATGATATTTACACTTCTAGCGTTATACGCGCGTATGACGGACGTATGACGCAAAGCTGCGCTCTAATTTAGGATATATTTCTAATTTTGTGCGCTCACCAACGCGTCTCCCATTGAAATCTCATGTAAAACATTGTTTTTCTAGCGGTCCTTGGCTTTAGATCACATCTACACACACATAGCACTTGTGTCTAAACATCAGCAGGAGGAGCAGCAGGTTTTACAGTGATTCTGGACATCGTTTTTTTTCTTTCATAAAGTCTCGCGTCTGGCCAAACCAGCGCACAGAGACCATGAGGACAAACACATGCATGTGATTTGTGTTTCTCTACATCAGTCCTCTGGCCCGTACTGTCCTCTACACTGCTCCATAGACTACACAGGGAGAACATCAGAAGCCGCGGACCTGCGCGCACGGCCTGTGTAGATACTCCAAAAAAAATGTACGCGCAGAGAGCGCGCAGTAAACGCGTACGCGCTGTTTATGCCTACTGTGTAAATTCCCCGTTATCCCCCATCCGGAGGCGGACGGACGCGACCCTCTCATTCACCGGGGAGAACTCCAACATGTGGCGGCGAAGATGGGGGGCAATGAGTATGGCCACCCCAGCTCGCCGCCTCTCCCCGCGAGAAACACCAGAAAAGTGGAGCGTCCAACCCCTCTCAAGGAGTTGGGTTCCAGAGCCCAAGCTGTGTGTGGAGGTGAGGCCGACTATCTCTAGTCGGTATCGCTCAACCTCCCCCACGAGTTCGGGCTCCTCCCCCCCAGTGAGGTGACGTTCCACGTCCCAAGAGCCAGATGTTGGGTGTGCGGACTGGGTCGCAGAGGTCTCCGCCTTCCACTGCTGCCCAGTCCTCTCTGCACCGAGCCACCACGGACCCCTCTGCAGGTGGTGGGCTCACAGGAGGGAATTCTATCTAAGAAACAAAATATATAGCCCAAATTGGTGTAATGCTCTTGAGACATGAGCTAAAGTCTCAGGTCTTTGTCCTGACCTATAGAGCACTTCACGGCCAGGCTCCAGGATACCTGTCTGACCTTCTGCACAAATACTGTATGTGCCCGGTGGCAGTCTCAGGTCTGCCAATCGGCACCTGTTAACTGTCCCAAGGACTAAATACAAAACATGGTGTAACCAATCTTTTACAGTCAGTGGCACTAAAACTATGGAATACACTCCCCCTGGATCTGAGAACCTTGGAATACACAGAGGTAGATAAAGCATTTGTACTACATTTTATTAATGTGTTTTTCAACTGTCACATTAAAACTTATGAAGCACCTTGTGAGTCAATCTCTGTGAGGGGCGTTCTATAAAATGTGTATAGCTTAACTTGGAACACTAGATCATTCAGTAGACTGTCTTCTGGTGCACAATATGTGTGTTTTTATTATATTGTTATTGGATACAACATGTAATAATGTGAAGATTGAGAAAATAGTAACTAATAAATGAGCAAACGTTGAGAGTGGGAAATGCAGATCTCACCTGCAGTGGAAACTGTTACTACTTCACTGAAAGGCCCAGTGCCTAATTTGTTCTGCGCCAGCACACTGAACTGGTACTCAGTCCCAGGCTCCAACCCGGGAACCAGCAACCAGGTCTGAGCACCAGACACGGGCATCGAGTGCCAGTCATGAGGCCCAAAATCTGTTTTCTTTGTCCTGCGAACACATAGGTAAAGCTCATCAATTATCTGAGTGGTATTAAGTACAGTCAACATTAAAAATGTATGATAAGTAAATACATCTCATATAATTTGAATATCATTTACACTAATAGATCCGATGGTGATATATTATTCAAGAATGAGTAGCTTTGTTATAGCACTGAATTGTTGATGTTGTCCCTCACTCATCTAAGAATGTTCAGTGATTATTATCTAAGCATCATCTAAGCAACAGAGGCTCTTGAGATACAGTACATCAACTCATAAAGCCTTGAAAGCGCATTCACACACATTGGTCTTCATGACATACTGTAACTGATCTGCTTGTGGCTTGTGAGTTAGCTCAGACGATTAGTGGGCCTGGAAAGTATTTTTTTTATTTTTCCACGAACAAAGATAATTTATCCTGAAATGCACCCACGTCTACTTCAATTGGAGAGTGTGAACTCTAAAACTATTTAAAAAATCTAAAACTACAACAACAAAAAATACTGTAAAATAGACCCTGTATCCATTCATAATGTGAAGTAGAAATGTAAAGACAAGTAAGAGTACTTACACCGGGCCATACCACACAGAAAATGTCTGTTCAAAGCCCCCATCATAACCCGGTTCCCAGGAGACGTTAGCTGATGTTGTTAATGGAAACACATGGATATTGCCAGGTGCATGCGGACTGGTGCCTGAACGATTAAAAGGAAGGAGAAAATTATATGGAATTCAACAGAGATGTTATTTTGAACTCAGACAATTCATACCTATCACTAGGATACGTGTGCTGGCAGTGATGCTCGTGACCACATTTGTGGCAACACATTCCCATTCTCCATGGTCGTCTTTGCTAAGGGACAGAAACTGCAAGCTGCCACTGGGTAAGACATTGTGCTTACTCCTGCTGGGCTTGCCGACCTTATATCAGATAAACCATAGTTAGTTGACAGCTTCGATTGTAAACAAACAAGTGAGAAAGGCATACTTTTCTCCAGGTGATAATTGGTATATCAGGGTCTCCAGAAGCAGCACATGGGATTACTAACTCTCTCCCCGCCTCCTGCCGATACTCCCCCCCAGGCCTCACATTAAAGTATGGGGGATCCTGTTCCAACATTGCATTAAAAATACAAAATTGATCAGATGATTTATCATATGTATTATAAAGCAATGTCTATTGCTCTAAACAGAGACCTTTAGCACCAGAGTGGCATGGGGGGATTTACCCATTGTACCCAGGGCATTATAAGGCACACAGGTGTAGGTGCCCAGGGAGTCCTCTGTGGCCTCTGCCACTCGGATACTTCCGTCTGTCATCAAACTCCAGCCAGGGTACTGCAAGACAAGTTTAACTCTCAAGGTCACATGCAATAAATAATAAAATCAAAGAAATAGTAATTCATATCATGTTGAAGAGATTAGTCAGTTAAACAGACCTTCTCCACTCTTAGAGGGTAGCCATCTTTCTCCCACTTCACAGAGGTCACAGGGGGGTTGGCATCCACTGGACAGCGAATGATGCCTGGAAGTTTCCTTGGCACATAGATGACTGAGGGCATATTGATCACACGGGCTGGGTCTACACACAGATGAAAGAATATCCATCGAGTTTGGACAGAAACAACAGCCACATCTAATCCAACTCTCACATGCAATGTTGTACAACAATAAAACACAAGACTTTAACAACACTAAAGATGTTTCCCTCCACAATCCATGAAATCAATGACATGTAAGTTGGTCACTATATGATTAAGCATGGTCATAGTACAGCAGCCTTCATCCCAAGGAGCCAAAGTGGTGGTGCTGTTCCTCTGCAATGGGCCGCCCATCCCCCCGTCTGCGTTACCATAGAAACACTCACACTGAACAGTCAGGTAGGCCGATGCCGAGGGGGAGATACCCAGGCTGTTGCTGGGACTGCATGTATATTTCCCAGCATCCTCTGGCTTGACCCGGAAGATGATGAGTGTCCCATCAATGAGGATCCGTACGCGGAGCTTCAGATCACTGCATTAGGAGAACACAGAGCGATGGGAAGCAAAAGGGTAAGTGCACACATATAACATGAGGCTGCCATCAGAGAGCAGCAGAGTGCCAGCCAGCAGCTGCCGATGAGGGGACAAGAGAATATCATCAAGTCCATGTTTCATGAGAAATTCTAACGCTTCATTAAAAACCTCATATTTCATATACTGTAACCTGATAGAATTTAACTTTTTTTCTCTATCTAAATCTGATTCTTCTTTTTTTTCATACACTGGTTCACAAAAATTACAATACTCCCGGAACTTCATTTTGGATTTTGATTTTGAAAGACGTAAACTTATAGTGCAGAACTAACATTGCTCATCAACCTCAGTGCACCATCCACAGTGACTAATATAGTGGGGCAGAATGATGCTGTGGGGCTGCTTTTCTTCAGTTGGGACAGAGAAGAGATTCATAGTTTATGGGAGGGTGGATGTAGCAAAATACAAGACAAAGCAAAGCTTTGGTGGCTGGGTAGAAGTTTACCATCCATCAGGATAATTCCTCTAAACATAAAGACTTTTCAAACATAGACATGGGTTAGTATGGCCCATTCAAAGTCAAGACCTACATCGAACTGTGGACGAATGCACAAAAACATTTTGTCTCCAGATGTGCAAAGCTTGTAGAGTGCATTTGTTCAGTATGGCTGGAAATGTTGTCTTTTGTTTTTTTTAACTGTGTTCACAGCTATAATATGACAAAATGTACAAGCTACTGTGCATACAATACAGTAAAGCATAAAACAGAACATTACTTTTTGAAATAGACATTGTCTTCTTCCCAGAACCAGGTGTAAGTCAGATTGCCAGGATATGCCTCTGCTTGGCACGTAAAGAGTGCATTCTGGGATATATTGACGGTCACATTTTCAGGTGGTGAGACGATATATGGAGGTCCTGTAAAGACACAAAAAGATTTACACCAGAGCAGCAGAGATTTTGGTATTTAAGCACACTATTTCAGTACGGCCACATTATATTATAACTAGTGCTGTCCAAAATATCGCGTTATTAACGCGTTAACGCAAATCAATATTAACGGCGTCATTTTTTTTTGCCATTAATTTTTTTTATAATTATTAAAAAAAAAAAAAAAAATTTTTTTTTTTTTTTTTTTTTTTTTTTTACTTTTTATTGCAGACAAACACATATACAGAAAAAAATAGACACAAAGAAAAGGACTAGTTAAGATACATTGTAGACAGAGATTACAAACAATATGTAGTTGGAGATACAGGGGGCCAAAGAAGAAACCCAGAAGGGCACATAGGAGGGGGGGGACATGAAGTGGGAGATGGGGGGGAGGGGTTAATAAAAAAGGCAATACAAGCAAACAGTATACAGTCATAGATATACCGAAAGTAAACAGAGAAACAGCATAGAGTATTTACATGAACAAATTTACAAAAAAAGTGTTTATCATCATCATAATGACACCATGATGTTTCTATACAGTCTATGGTCTATACCCACACATACACACACACACCCACACCCATAAACACACACACTCCACACACACATTGAAGGGGCTTTTTGTTACCAATTATTTATTTTGTCATCCATTTATTGATGATTTTGCATCACATGTTAGTGTGTAATATAACACTACACATTGTTTTCAATAAAAAAAGCAATTGCACACAGCACGCAAATGGGTGACTAATTTGCGATTAATCGCGAGTTAACTATGAAATTCATGTGATTAATCGCGATTAAATATTTTAATCGTTGGACAGCACTAATTATAACCTATGCAAACCCGTGAGGAAGTCAAGGACACGTCTAACTCAAAATATAATCTATAACCAGTCTACTGGTTATTTATTCTTCATGCTGCTTAACTTTAAACATCAGGAACTGTCTTCTCTGCTGAGTGAAGGGGAAGAATCCAGCAATTAAAAAAGATCACTGTGAGGGGAATTGACTCATGGGATATTGCTCAGTTATTGCTCTGCATGCTCGTCTAATCTTTATTTTTGGTGTTTTCTTCTGTACAATGTAACAACACAACTATGTACATTAAAGTATTTATATTCTCTTCTGTTTTTGTAAATACATTTTGTTTATCCAAACAGAAAGTCTTTCACTGGTAAAAATCTTTTGTGAACAAAGCAGACCAAGCTGTTTCTAAATGTTAACTTATGTTTATTGTTTGTTTTATATAAATAAAGTCAACCTTGACCTTATAAGAAAACTTGTTATCTTTTACATACTTAGAGCTGATTGGCGGAGTGAGGGTGGTCCTCTCTTTTTCACTGTAAAAGCTGATCTAAAGATGTGACAGGGGCCAAAAATACACACGTGTGACCAATAGTTATAGAAACTAACTAGTTCCATAGCTGTTGTTACATAGTTACACTCATCACAACACTTTTTTGAAAGCTTTTAGGGAAACAAACATTGATTGGGCAATATCATAGGCCATAGGTCTTTGTCCCCCATTTTCATAAAACAAAATACAACAATGATAAAGGCCTAAAACCATTTTAGGCCTGATTGAGATGCAATACAAATTGCAAACAAAAAATATTTCCCAAATTAAAAATATTTAGGGAGATGATTTAAACAAATGAAAATGTAACGTGTACAAAAATCATTGATGTACATTAGGTACAATCACTGTGCTCAGCACTAATCACGTGTCCCATTTTGCCGTCGCTAATGCCCACTGGATTGCCAAGTCTGTTGATGTGGCCTGTTAACAGCTAACGCCGGTTATTTCTGATTTTGGCAAAAATAGAAGTGCAACAAATGCAAAAAAAATGCTCATGTGGGTTGCTGAGAAGATGTGAAAGACAGTAGTGGACAAGCGTAACACAAAGCAAAAAAATGCAGCGGTACAGAAAAGGCGGGTCATCCGCCAAAACAACATTTACAGAGAAATACAGTATACAAATACAGTATGTATAAGATCTTTTGTTTACAGATAAGTGTCTTGAGACTGAATCAGAAAAAATTGTTTAGGAATCAATAAAAGCATACCTTGAACCAGTAACCGCGTGGTGTGCAGAACCTCTCCTTGATCACTGTAGGCACGACACGTGTATGCGCCTCTGTCATCTCTTGTGATTGTGAGAATGGTTAGACTGCCATCATGTACCTGCAAAAGTATGCCAAGAAAAATGTCAACACTGAGGCACCATCTCAGAGTTTATGCAGTTATTATTTTGAGTAAATCAAGTAGGATCAAGGGGATGAATATAAAGGAAAGAAAGAATCATATTCAAAGTACTTTATGCCACTTACACAAGACTTTTTAGATTGCCTCATTTAATTGAAATGTTAATATCTAACCATATTGACGCTTTTAGAGCTAAAACTAACATAAAACAGAATTTTACAAGGAAATGGGCTACATTCTTTTAAATATTGCAAATAAAATGTATAAACAAAAATGTCATGTTGTTTTATACATCAGTTGTTTAACGATATATAGATATAGTAAGTACATTGACAAGTCTAATAATCATGTTCAAGAAAGAGATTGCAACCTTTATTAGATAAAATTTAACTTTTCGGATGAGAAGCAATAAGCAGCAAAGAAACACATTGACCAAAGCGAATAGAAATTGGCTCATTAATAATGCAATTGTTTGCGTGGCCATTCAAGTCAAACACAGCTGGAGTGTGTTCATTCATGTCGGCTGCAGTGAGGAGCAGAGCCCAGTCTGTCGGCAAATGTGTCAGTCAGGATTCACACTGTGGTCATCTCACCAGTGGAAATGTGTGGGACAAGTGCAACATGCTTCTGGTACTGTACATGCAGGGCTTTGATATTTCCCAATAAAATAAAAACATGCATTTATCAGTTTTCTGTTTTTTCAAATGGGACTATAAGAAACATTTTGTATGCAGTTGTTGTAAATGCACATAATCTGCTATAATGTTCTATGGTTTTTGGGGTGGTTGTGGGATTAAGCCATTCTTAATCTCTCTGTAAAGCAGATATGTGAAGGGTCAATGAGGCACCACCACTTACAGAATCAAAAATAGATAAGTGTTTAGGGACAGGAGTTTGGTAATCAGAAAACATGTGATTTTGAATGGCTATTTTAAAAGTGTATTTTTGGACTCACAAATTGACACTACTTCATATTATATGGCATCTCCCAACTTCTAACCATCAGTAGAAAAAAAAATACTTTGGGGATGCTGTCTTTTTGATAGAACCCAAAAATAATCACTGCTCTCTTGTGTCTGTTCTTTCAATAGACAAGTATCGGAAGGTGTAGCTAAAGTAGTGGCACACCCAAGACACACCATGGATCTCTATAACAGCTTTTAAAGTATTGTTTTGTATTTGAATAGTTCTTTGTGGAAAACATGTTAACTGCTGAAGAGTTTTCCTCGTCTCCGTGTCTGTCACATTCTTGTGTTTGTCCGTTCTGTTCCCCTGGAGCTGAACAAGCTCATGCCAGTGACATCATGTCCACCTCATCTCTCGCTCTGAGCCCGATGCATAAAACACTATAGCTCAGTGTAACGTTTTTACTTGGGATAATACAATATTTATGAAAGAGACGGCTGTATCAATTATGCATCGCAGTCTTGTCCAACCGTTTAGTGAGAGAGACATAGGTGATACTCTGGGCAAGAGATCTAAAAAAAAAATATTGTAAGAAATGAAACATAAAAGAGAATAGAGGAAAGAAAACAGAACTTGTTACCGGGACAACAATCCACTCACAATTGGTATACTTTCTACATTCCATTCAGAGAAATTTACAGTTATTGGGTTTCACCAAAATGTACTTTTGGGCAAAACAAAACATTGGTGTTTTAAAAATTAACACATTTTACTAGTTTATATTACAATATGAAAATGGTTCCCTGGGCTTTTCTTGCTCTTCCATTACATTGTCCAATCCGAGTACTGTATTCTGAATATTCTGAATATTTCGAAAGATTGCATGCGATAATGTAAAAATGCAGCACAGGGTTAGAACAATATTTTTTGCATGTTTCCATGTCGAACTACTACTAGTATCGTCACTATTCTCAGGGTGAAGGGAAACCTTTTGTTGAGCTGCTTTAAAGGAAACAAATTATGCTAAATCAACTTTTTGGAGATTTGAACCATGCTCCAAAATGGCTCTCTCATCAATCACAGACACTGATATCAGGAACGCCTAGCACAAATATGTAGCTCCGCCCCTTCTGTCTAAAAGCTCCTGTCTATGTCCTGATGTCATTGTACCTCTATGACATCACGCGCAGAGAAGGTTTCTGCCTCTAAAACAATCGAATGGCTGAGTTTGCAACCCCTCCCTCTTGTGGTAGCAGAGGGAGTTACATGCAGAAAGCAATTATAATCTTTCATACTTTTATCATAGCACCACATATTTTCAACTTAGGATAATATTTCACATTCTAAAACATGAAATGACAAAATAAATAGTCTAATTCAACAAACCAAAAAAACAATGCATATGATTTGTTCTTTAAAACACTCAGAGATGCCGGTCCATTGCTTTCTGCTGGACATATGTCAAAATCATGACTTGTTACAGTATATAGTTAGAGGATGAGATTTCCACTTGAGAAAAGGTGACATTTGCACCTTCCACTTAAGATGCAGCGTCTTGAAGCAGCAGTACTCCGCTCTGAGTCATCACCGACAGACGCTTCACAACTGCAGCATATAACATAACGCTCACTCTCTTCTCTAACGGGACCAGAATATCTTGCGGTGACATCATATTGTCAGCAGAGTTGGTCTTTGATATGAGAAATTAAAGACACTTCTAATGTCTTTTCTTGGCAGACATTACATCATGTGTTGTTTATTCTGGAAGCGTTTTCTGACAATACTTGCCTGATTCATTCACTTTTACAATTTTCACTTTTATAAAAGATAATACACTTGACTATTAGAAAAATACATTGAATAGCTTGACTGCATTTTTCAGTTATAAAAGATGAAATATGAAAAATAAAATACATCTGGTACAAATGTTATCAGTTGATATCGATACTGATTGCCCAGCTGCACTGATGACTGATGCCGATATTTTCCAGAAAAAAAGTTTCAAATAAAACCAAAAAGTAGATTTCCTTGTTTTTATTTACTGAAAATGCTCAATGTTCAACTGTACAATGACAATATACAATCACAATTCTAAAGAGTGAAGTTTAAAATAATAATAATAATATTTCACATGTCTGCTATTTGGCAATTTAGTAAAATACCAGAAAACCAAAATAAAACTTTTCTTTTTTGCTAAAACATTTGAATATAGGCAGCTGAAATAAAGTGATTAATTTAATCTGTTAGAAAGTTTTTGTTTTGAATCATAAGTAAGAGCAAATCCAAAGCTAGTAACCCCCCCTCCATCAATCATTTGTAAAGTCAGACATAGAAAAGTAGTCTTACGGAGTATTTGGATGTGGTCTGGAGCTCCTCCCCCTCGCGCAGCCAGCTGATCAGGGGTTTGGGGTTCCCCAGGGCGGAGCAGCTCAAAACACTGTTGCCCCCCTCCTTCGCTTCCACATACTGAGGGGGGGTCGATGTGAACGTGGGTGGGGCTGCAGAGACAGAACCACAGGGACACAGGTGTAAAACAAAAATTCCTGTACGGCACATCAATCAGGTTACAGCTTCTTACCATTTATACCGTGGTCAGTGAGGACGCAGATGCACACTACCTTTGAGTATTACTGTTTAAGTGACTAGACATGTTAAATATTTTTCTTTTGTAAAACAACAAATGGAAAAATCAGCCGCAATAATATTTCTTGCGGTTGTATGATTTAAATATACTCTGCGCCTTGTGTCGTCCTATACTCCGCATCATGAGTTACTTGTGAATCTGTCTTCATCATTCTTTTTCCAATAAAGCAGTGTTCTTCTAACTATTGTGCGAACATGCTAAATACCGTCTTCATCAGTTGTACACATGAATACAATCACAAACATAATTAACTAATACAAATAAATTGTTGCTGTATAAAATGTTCAAAGGAAGCAGATAAAAAAGAACAGATTTACATAATTTGTTTAAGTTTTTGTTTAACAATTGTTTTTGTCAAGTATAAATGAAAAAGTTATTCCTACCTGCACTGGTCTCAAAGAAAAAAGGGGATAAAAGACAAAGGCTTTGTGGCTAAAAGTCAAATAATTGATTTTGAGAATGTAGTGCTAACGTTCTTTCTGCATATACACCTCAAAGTAAGATTTGTTGGTATGCATGGCTTTTGCTCTTAAAATATAAATGGTGATGTGTCATAATCCCCCACCCCCTCAACTTGAAATCTATAAATAGGTAAAGTTATGATCATAGTCTGCATAGAGATGAATAAAGCCTATAGGGAAGTGCTCATGGCCAGTGTTTTGCTCCTGCACACTTTGGCTCTAATTCATTTACATTGAATACACACTTTGGCCTTAAACATCTGTAGTTTAAATTAGCTGATATTACTATTGTTTGGATCAACCTTGGATTACTTAAGTATTTGTATCTGAGTATCAATGTAATGGGCCTTACATAATCATTATCCAAACAACCCTGCTCTGATTTCTGTTTTGCCAACAATGTTTTGCCTGATATGTTTTTGCCAAAAAAATTAGACTCAAACCTTGAAACAAGAGCAGTGTTTTGTCTAGAACACTTGCGCTGCGAGGTGTGCTTTGTTGTAAAGTCCTAATACAGTGTGATTTGGGGCATCGAGTCTCAATACACTGCAGGTACATTCATCAGGGAGTTGCTATGCACAGCCCAACTCACAGCACTGTCGCTGCACAAAAATTTAAGCTCACATCAAATCCTTGCCCTACTTACTGCAGCTTTCATTAATTATATACATCAAAGGCTTTTTAAGATCCTCACACCCACTAGACTTTTAGCAGTAAACCCCACCACAACAGCAGATGGCCTGGATGCTCAAGACAAGGATTCACACCAGTTACACACAAAGACACAATCTCTAAGGGAATTCAGTATATTGTGTGGCGACACAAGGATTGATTGTATTATGACTGTCTTAAAACAATCTTTACCATGAGGACAATCCAAAAAGGTATTTTCAGAAAAAAAAGAACCATAATTACTCACTTGGATTGTCATCTTTTTTCTAAACTGGAAATAAGATTTAAGATAATTATGGGCGTGAATTCTATAATCGTTCAATAACTGCCGGATACAATAATACAATAAAAATTAGTTATGACAAGCTGTTTATCCATTGGCATATCTTTTCATAAAACAATAAATGTAAAAACAAATAATATACTAACGTTTCTTTCCCAGTGATTTTTTTTTCTCTTCCATAAACTTCCATAAACATCCACAGCTCAGGTCTATCTGAGTGTTTAAGGCCATCACTAATGAAGTTGTGCAAAAGGACTTATGGAAGAGAAAGCGGTTATGAAGATGAAAGCTGTGGGCAGGCAGAGCTCTGAGGGGCCCCAGTGTCTGCGTGGCTCCGGGGCCGTGCCATCTGACACCTGCCTCTGAGCGGGGTCTCTGTCCCTTTGGCAGGAAGCTCTGGCCTCCACACAGGAACTGAAGACGAACTGTTTGCAGAGCTAACGCCAAGGGAAACACTCGTCCCAGTCATGTGTGGGGGCACGGCTACCATGACACCTGGACCCCAAACAAATGCCCTTTTAAGTCACTTTAAGTCACTAATGCCACTGCCATTGCCCATTTTTTTTTACTGTAAATAATTATATCCTGCACAGACTATATTTTTAACCTTTAACATCAGATCAGATTCATGTTTGCACACTTCTGTCTTTTTCACAATCTGCGTGATTCTATGTGAGATCAATAAAGTCTATCTTATCTTATCTTTTACAACATTCCTCTGCATATATTTATCTTAAAGCACTTTATACCATTGAGAGGACACTCTAGTGTGCCTTTGGGCTGTCAATTTACTGTATAATACAGCCTAAATTGTAGACAAATAATATGTTTTTATTCCCGTTTGCATTTTTCCTTCATTCATAGTTAATTATTTTGTGAATTCTGTGAATGAGGAGATTCAGCAGGGCCAACTCTGAAGTGTCTCGCCCTGAAATTTCAAACAACAAAACTTGACCTGTGTAATATAGTCCATGTAACTAGTTCCTTGTTCTTAAAAGAGTTTCACTAGTTTTCACATGCATGTATTTATGGCAACGCTCACATCTTTAGATCAGCTTTTTCAGACAGAAAATTGCAAAAGAGAGAACCACCCTCACCAAGTATGCAAAAGATAAAATTTTACTTTTACAAGACTCTTTCTGTTAGGACAAACAACATGGGAGTTAGGCAAGTTGGGTCCTTAAGCTTGAATATACTTTCAATTTGCATCTGTATTTGGGACATTCATACACCTCAACTCAAAAAATTTATTTCCGTTTCTTGTACATACACAGCATCTACAGACAGCTCAACAAATACTACGGTTCCTCGAGCCAATCCACGGCGTGTGCATGGAGTGTAATGTGAGGTCGTGCCCAGGCCCTGTTGTAATACGTGAACTATACATAACATTAAAGGATATGATTTGATGTGTTATAGGCTGAGTGACTGAAGCCGTACAGAGGTCTGACAGGAGCGGAGAGCTGCTCAGGACTGAATACTGATGAGGCAGACTGCGGTATCCCAACACAAAAAGACATTCATGAGCCTCGGATGCACACAAACTCAACAGCAGTGTGCAGGTGACAGTTGGCAGAGGATGACCCCATTCATTTGTCATTGTCAACCGCACACACGTACATACATATATTTAGATGGCGTGTGCGCTGTTCTAGGGTTCTGAAATGCATGCTAAACATTTATACGCATATGGAACGTGAAATGGACCACGTTTCACACAAGTTAAACAGGGTTAGGGTTTTTCTTTTTGTTATTTCTTCACTGAAATGTCCCCGCTGTGGGAAGAATAAAGGATCTTAATCTTCTTTTATATTTTAGACTGTTTTATGTCAACTGTTTTATTTTAAATGAGCGACACATTTAAACTTGAGGTTGACTTTCCAATCAGACAAAAAAGGCTTAAGAGGGCAATATTGTCTTGTCGGTTTGGTGTGGGTGCGCTTCTTTCAGGATCCTCTGCAGCACTGGGGCAGTCCTGTGAAATGCAAAGGTGCAGATTTTTTTTTCCGCCCTGTCATCACTTTGATAGCTTTCAGACTATCAGACAATCCCTGTCCAAGCGGCTTCAAACAGACCACAATCAATTCTTTGCTCAACAGCCCCTCATTTCTCTTCTTACTCAACAGGATCTGAATGTGTTCAAATCATATACTGTACCTATTATGTTGTGAGTAGATAATGCAGCAGCCAGTGTACAGGAAAGAGGTGTTTTGAATAATATTTTGTAACTGATAGGGATTTAAGACCTATTCACACCGCCACGTCTGGTGTGTCAGGTTTACACGCAAAGTCTACGCCAGGGTTTTTATTGAACGATACTAACTGTACAGTAAGTAGAGAAAAGAACAACCAGATAATGAAGTTTAGCATTAGCATGAGCTGCAGGTCTGTATGTGTCACATCCGTAGCATCTTTTTCAGGACTGCATTGTTCGTGCCATAAATAAATTACTAAATAGTAAGGATGGAGGTAGGCCACGCACTGTACTGCAGCCTGAATTCTCATGGGTTACACATTTTCCCATAGACCTCAAAGTTAACAAAAAACAGCTTGTCCTCAGCTGACAGGGAACCTACAGTTTGCACAACAGTCGGATTTAGTGGGGACTTGAAATCCATTGCTTTTTCTATAAACCCACACTTTTGTGCAACAAACTCTGCTCGTTCTCGATCTTTGCAATCCGTGCATGTTTTCAAACCATTTCTGGCAGGCTGTGTACCCTCCGCAGCCCTACCCTCCGCAGTGAGCGCTCGGTCACCACTTCTGCTCATGTTTGAGACGTCCATAGTGCATACGCCAATGAGCTTGAATGGGCCGCCATCTTTGAACTCCCGGGGCTTGGTTAATTGTCGGAGCACTTATTTTACATTTGTTTTTCTTATTATGATCTTATATCTAATTAAACATCCTATTATAATCATTAAATGATGTATGAGTTTTAGTGATCATTCTAAATACTTATTTATCACAAACCTGGCACTCTATAAGTTCTTAGACTAGAGCAGAGATTTTGTATTGTCTCCTTCCAATCTAGAAAGACTCAATACATGATGATGTTTATTAACTTTAATTTGCATTAAGTGACTGAATAACACTTGAACAAAATACGTTGGATATGGTTTGGTGATTATACCCTGGCAGAAATATTGTATGACATATGCAGGAGGAAACTGAGCGGAGATTAGAGACAGAGTGCAAACCCCCCAGGGTCTAGACCCTGGTGGTGATGGAAGCTGAGCCGCTGACATGTGATTCCTCCCATACTGTGGTGTTGTGGAGGAGGTGGGTTGCTGAATGTGCAGGTGTGTTGTACAGGGAATGTAGTAACCAGTCATCTTATAACAGTCAATAATCTAATACATTTGGCCAAAAGTTTTGAGCTAATAACACAACAATTAGCCAATAATGTAGTATCTCTGTTGTGCCAATAATTAAAAAATGTTGGCAAAAAATGTAATAAGATAGCAAAATGGCTTATTCCTCTCACATAACATGTATTTTATGGTCCTATTAATGGTCCTTTATATTAAAACCCATTTAGACTCTCTGGAAAACTGGAAAACTAAAAAAAAGAATTGAGAGAAATAGGTTACCATATTATTGGCCTAAGTTATTACATTATCAGGCCAATCATGTAATAATAATCCAATATTGTAATACGTTATCGGCACACCAGAGTTATTATGGCAATAAGTTAAGTTCTTAACAACTGCTAGCTATCTATTCAAAATTGTTTTTCCATAAGTTTTCTACTAAATATTCCACATTATAAAACATAAAATGAAGATAAATACTCTAAAACAATCTTTCAGGCCCAAATAGATCACAAGTATAACATTTGTAGGCAGAGCTTGCATGAAGGATGAATGCACTCACCGTTGACAGTGAGATGCACCCAGCTGCCGTTGTGGAAGGTGTCATACTGCTGCTCCAGCATCAGGACCCGACACTCGTACCAGCCCTGGTCCTCGGAGCGCACCGGGTCAATCTGCAGAGAGGCCTTCCCGTGCAGAGAGGCCCGACCTGCACAAACACCACTGTCTCATAATACCTGAGCTGCAAGGATCATATCCAAACATTGGAAAGGGCAGACCTGGCAAATTGACCCTTCCTATTTAATGATGATTTTAGGACTCAAAATTATCAACATATTTTCAATTGAATTGTTTTGAAGAGCTTCTTGCATCACTCTACAACCAATGGATTATCTGGGTAATGTAATATCTTATTTACTGTATTTCCTAAGAACCATAACAGATGGTTTACAAGCTTGTATTATAAAGTGAATTTGAGTGCACTGTAAACGTAATGTAGTTTTAAATATAGAAAACGATTGCATACACAGACAAAACTAAATATAATTAATATACAAAATGCTCAACATTCTGATAGAAATGTACTTTTATAAAAGGACAATTCGTCATACGTTCCAATACTTTGAACGTCTACAAAGAGGTTTAGGAAAAAAGTGGTGTGTGTGCAGCTTCCAGACAGCTGCCTCTGACAGAGAACACAGAACTACAGCAGTCTGACATATGAGCAGAGAAACAGCCAAACTCTGATGTGGGCCAAGCTCTATCTATCTCGGTTTAGACATGCCATAAGAACACACAATGTATACAAGGTGCTCTGTAATATACATGTGTTCAGATTTCTGCCATTGTCAGGCTACAAAACTGACACTTTTGTTAAAAGAAAATCAATGGGGGAAAGAGGAAAAGAGTGGAGGCTGCAGTCTCGCAGTAAAAGGCTTGACTTAAAAAGTCGTGTCTATTTTTTGCCTGTCCATTGAAGTGCTGAGTGGGGTGCGGTGGTGTGAAGGGTAGGGATCAGGCTCAGCCATTTGTCAGAATGAGGCGCTGCTGTAGACGGTCAGACTGGCCCCTGGGCATCAGCGCTGCTACTGTACACATCGCTGTCTGCCCATCACACATACACCTTGTTCACATCACAAGCTTTCACACAAAGAGCTCCACTACGGGTTTTTAAACAATAGACTGGGGGATGTTCCAGGATAATTTTGTACCAATGGTATTTTTAATCATTTATCATTGTCATACATATATTGTATGTACATATATTGTACATATGTTCCTTGTTTGCAAAATGCATTACATTCTTGTATCTTTACATGTATTGATATGAAACAGTTTTTGCCTTAGACTTGACAATATACCAAGGACTCGCTGAGACAATTTAAGGGGAAGGTCACATCTTGAAGAAGGCTGAGTTGGCCGGTTTGTGCTTGTGTCCCATTTTGAATGTGAAAATCCGATTAGTCCATAAGATAACTCAATGGTGGTCTTTAAGCCACACAGAACGCAGAGACATACTGTTTATTATAGAAGCACAGATACCGATACCAGTGGGTATTGTATCGGCCTTATTCTCTAGCTATTCTAGGTGGTTGCACTTGTTTTCGCTCCATGTACGGAAACCATATTGAAAATCTCAGAATCATTGGCATCAGTGCTTGGTATAGGCAAATACGTAATATAAGAGTAATCATACAGTACAATAACAAGCCAAATACCAACCATGAATTAACTTGTCTTTCTTATTTGGATTTATAATGTCCATTTAGAATATAGGGTTCTTAATATGCACAAGTATGCTTAGAAAAACAAATCTACCTGTGTACTCTGGATCCACATGAGGAGGGTAGTATCGAAAGTTGATGAAGAAAGGAATAGGCACTCCGAACTTGAACCATTCCACCACATATGGAGGCTGCTGGCCATCCAGGGGAGGGGACACGTCACACCCCAGGATCACGCTCTCTCCAGCGCGCGCCGTCACAAAGCGGGGCTCCTCTCTCACACCGTGGGCACCTGGAAAACATGTCATGAGATTGGTATTGTTTTGCATTCACATTAGGAAGCTTGTGAGAGTTGTGTTTAGAGTCAAAAGAGCTGTCCAAGAGCTGAGCACAGCCTGTAGCTCTAAGCTGGCATCTGGACAGCACCACGTCTGGTTTAGCTGCAGAAGTCCCGGCTGCAGCCTGGAGTTGACCTACCAGAGGACTTAGAGGTCAGAACCTGCCTCAGCACTGTTGGATAGATTTTCTTCAACTACCACCTCCGTTTGCATTGAACTGGCTGTATCTCCAGGGTCAGGGAAAGCATGTCTCGCAGCCTCGCCCAAAGGAAAAATCACTTTAGGGATAAAGACAAATGCTGATGTTTCACTGTACACTGGAGGCATAGCGGCTGAAAAACACTTTTATTAGCACTTTTATCTGCATTAGAACACACACTTGCAGGAAACATCTCATAGTCTCATCTGTGCCGCACCTCACACATTGTACTAAAACCTAGATATTTCAAACAGTTGCTCTTTCTATAATATTTTCTGTTCACAGATTGTGGTCGGTTTAATCTGCATTATCCTGTGATGGAGTTAATCCACTTTGTTCAACTGAGCCAAATCAGATTCTGAACAGAAGCAGAACAGAAGCCGATTTCATCAAATTACACTATTTAAGTGGTCACATATAGCCTGCCAGGCAGTTACACGTCTATAACTGTACTGGAATCTACATAGTCAAGCATATAAAGCTATATAGCATGCACTCAGCCGAAGCACTCTTTATATTGTCATCAAAAGATCACGTTTAAATTTCATTCTATGAGCTTCAAGCGAATGTGTGAAGTATATTTAACTTCTGATCCTTTCAGTGCTCAAATGAGACAATCAGGCTATGAGATACCTCACTCTATGTACAATGAAAGACAAATTATGTGTGCCAAAGGTAGTCTAAAAAGAAAAGTGCAGAAACAGAATTTTTCTTTTAGAGGAAATAAAAGCTATTTCAATCTTGCGAAATATCCAAAGTATCTCTTATATTGTGTGGTCCTGAATGTCTGCATTTTTGTAGCTCAACACTAAACGAGGTGCAGGCTCCTGTGAGTATGCAAACACAGTAGACACATTGTTTGGAGAAATAAGTCTAGTCACTTGACAAGAGCTTGACCTGAGCCTACACATAAACTCTGTGTGTGTTCTGGTGTTCAAACAGCAGCTCCGAGCAGCAATGCGCTACTCAGTCATAAGCGAGAACCAGCAGATGCTTTAATTTCTTAAATGAAGGCAGAAGGTTTAAGGGGAGAACATGTCCAATACTGCCTGATATCTTCATGCCAAATTTTAGATGCAGATTAAATTAACCTCAGATTACTCTGTAAAAGTGAATACTGGTATACAAACTCACAGAGTGAAGTGCAAACCCTCAGTGGTGTGCTGCTAAGTCTCCTTAAATCAGAACAACACAAACAACACACACACACGTAGCTCATGGGGTAAATTACTGAATAAAATAGATTTGCCAAAGAAACTGGCAGCACAAATGGGAGACTCATGTGATGCTAATTCTGTTTTCTGGCTGGACACTCAGCCCTAAATACAACATGAATAAAGTGGCCATCCTGTCCATTTTTTTTGTAATTAAGATTAGATCAGCACTAATGTTTTGTTCAGAAAAAGGTGTTTAAGGTTATACATGTTGACCTCGTGTCCAGGGACACCTATGAAAGATGCAGAATGCTTACATACTGTCCCTTCAAGTCCTTTTACATCAGTCTATAGGGACTTTACAACACATTTCATCCTGCAGTGATATAAATATTAATCATAAAAACATGCAGGGCACACATGCACATTCTAAACCTACAATTGTCAAGGACGCCCCACAGTGTGGCATAAACCTTAATTCAAACTCCAAGGTTGTTTGTACCTGACTGAAATGTTTCCACATTATAATACCTGTCAAAGCACATAGTGTCCCTGCACACTGGCTAAAAATCGGTGCTAAAAACACTTACCAAAGACAGTTTTTTTCCTAATTACCTGCATCTCATGTTCCTCTCTAGTACATGATAACATTTTGCACACATCAGCAAAGCAAGCAGCTTTGCAGACAAAACAATGACCTCACTGTCTGCAATATTTGGTCACACAATAATATTGTATTAAAATATTGATGATGGATGGCACTTGGTGAAAACAGGGAACCAACAATAGTGAACAGAGAACCAAAAAGAGAACAACTGTAAGTATTGTTTCTGAAGATAACAGCAATGAGGAAGATCAGGTCAGATCCGTGCTGATTCTGTAGTTTGTGGGATAGATAATTTTTCCATTGTTTATACACTTTAAAAACATTTGAAAATACACTTTGAAAACTCAGGAAGGAAGTGATTACAGCTGATTATCAACGATTATTCATGAAATACTATAATATTAAATTATAGAGCAAAATATTCACAGAAGTGAAGGTGAAGTGGCACAGTGGACCAGTCCACATAAGCAGAGAAGTGTCTTTCCCACAATGCTGCAGGCTTTGTGAGAAAGTGCATGTAGTATTATTATTGTGTGTATTATTACTTGCTTTACTAAAACTGTAGGCCTCTACACAGAAAGAATTTTTCTTTACAAAAACAATCTAATGTAAGATTTTTGTATTTATTTTTTTCAAAAATAAAAGGGGCAACTTGGTCTGTGTGCATGAAGTGGGCTTCATCCAACCCTCATGGAGATTGCTCTACAAGCATTTCATAAGTAAAACTGGAAATAATGGATAAAATGCTTCATGCAAAACAAAGTATGGTTTTGAACAGACAATGGTTAGCCTTGCAAAAGCAGATTTTGTAATGAAAATAAACAATGAATCCCTTATTTCATGTGGATTTGCAAAAGAACAAGAGTAGTGCTTAAACAATGATGGAGTGTGCCAGATAAACATTTTGCTGGCGCATCAGAGTGGTGCAACAAGATGAGTGTCTGTCATATATGTTGTTACAATGTCCATATCTGCAAATGGCTGGTGAACTGCTCAGTCAGACACAGGTCAGTTACAGTAGAGTAAGCTTTACTCATAATGAGACGATACATGCTCGATGTGCACTCACTCCGGTCGTCACTATAGCAACACAATCTATAGTACAGCGTGCGGCGGCACGGTGGCTGAGTGGATAGCACTCTCGCCTCTCAGCAAGAAGGTCCTGGGTTCGAATCCCGGTCGGACCAGGGCCTTTCTGAGTGGAGTTTGCATGTTCTCCCCGTGTCTGCGTAGGTTTCCTCCGGGTGCTCCGGTTTCCCCTACCACTAAAAATATGTCCAATAGTTCTGGCATGTGCCTCCTGTACTGGCCCCGCTCCCATCTCTGTGTGGAGAGAGAGACAATTGCCCAAAAATTAACAATTGTAAACCGCTTTGAGACTCAGATCTGCAGTGAAAAGGCGGTATATAAATAAAGATTACTTACTAATTACTAGTACAACCTGAAGCAGTACAGTAAAGCAAGAATTAAAGCAAAATGAAAATTGCAATGTACTGCAGGAGATACTAATGAGCAATATAGGGATGGAGCAATTCTTGATATAATAATGGGTGACCTCATCATTTGACTAATAGCTTTTTATCAAATAATCAGCGTCATTTGTCAATGGACACATTTAGCCAAGTAAACGAAGGAGTGCCAACAGTAACAGGGCTCAGGTTCACCTAAATGCTGCTTTAAACACATATTTACTGTTTTGTTATATGCCTGTATCTTAAGAGACATTTCACACACCCTTCAAAAGTACATCATAAGACTTCATCACTCTATGTCCATGTGCAAACTCACTAAGACCATAAGCAGTTTACACTAAGGAAATTGTGTCTAAATCTAGCTCCAAAACCACTAAAAACAGTGAAGTCCCAGGACAGTGTGCCATGGAGAGACCGCATGCTCTTAGTGAGAGACACTCAAAATAGTCTTTGCAATATCCCACTGTCCAACACTTGCCAAAGACATTTAATTACGTCTATATTGCCTCAAGCTTCCCTCTTGTCTCTTCTGGATTTGTTGCCAAGTCACCAATGACTTTGTTGAACTAACCTAGAGTTTGCTTGACCATATGCTGCCTCCCTTATGAGCCCTTGGCAAAAGATACAACTTCGACCACACATTCACAGTCATTTGATTGTCATTTGATTTGAAGAATAATGACTGTGTAATTCACTCACTATTACTACTAACAGTATTTAAATCAAGGCCCATTTATGAAACGTTAGTCTTAATACTAAATGTGCAGTATTCTTTGCCAAGTTAAAGCTGGGTTGCCTAACTTTCAATCTACAATATAATAGAAAACTATGTATATAATTACTGCATCGCTCTTAACCCAGTTCCATCATTAGTTTTAACGTGCATGTCTTTTGCGCCTCTGTCACATATTTAGATCTACTTTCTCACACAGAAAAGTGGAAAAGAGAGGGGCAACCTCAGCCAATCTGTTCTTTGACCAAAGCGTCAAATCGTGAAACACTGGGCTCTTTCATTCTAGTGTGCAAAAAATAACATGTTTTATAAAAGGGTTGACACATTATCCTGTTCTGATTTCAATTTACCTTTACAAAATTCTTTCTTTTGGCACAAACACAGTGTATTATTTATGAAAAAGTCAGGTTGCTCAGCTTTAATTAAAGACACAGCATGGACCTAAAATCATATGTGCCAAATTGGTTGAAACATTTACATTTGACATCTTCTGACCTACGTTTTTCCAATTTTGGTAATAGGAATAAACTTGACAGAGAGCAGACCAGTTCTGACTGGGTTTGTGGGGTCATTGGGATCAGTTACCAGGCGACAGCATGGCACATGTCTCCCTCCTCTGGACATGATTGGAAAAGCAAGGTTAAGTAAGTACATGAGTCAAATAAGAGAGTGCAAAGGAAATATGAAAAAGGCAAAAGATCTACTGTTCTCATAGTTATCACAGGATATGCAGCGTGTAGTGAGTCCGCACGGGCTGCTTTCCCAGTGTTTCAGCTCAACACACCACCATGATGCTGCGTGGAATCAGCATATGAATGGCACGCGTGTATCATTGTGCTCCATCATATTCAGCACTCGGTAAAGCATTTATCTGACACGTGATGCATTATTTAGCTACTTTTCCATCTTCAGGGCTGACGGTCACACCCCTCTCTAGAGAACTCATGGGACTGCTTCATGGTAGGCTTTGTTGAACACATCTAGACTTCAGCAGTCTCGCCGTTGTGCCTCCTATCTGTTTGGTGTTTTACTACTGCACAGAAGAGACGTGTGGAGTGGACCACAATCTGGGCCTACCCATCAACCAATGTGCACAATCTCATCCCACAGTCTGGAATAGCCAAGCACAACCACAGGGGAAACATATGACAAATCGTCCATATCAATAATCTAGGTTGAACTTCCCAGTGACACATTCAGCCATTTGAGAGAATGGAGCGGCTCTCAGTGCATATGACCTAACACATGGAAATGTCATGCGAACGCAGCACCCAGCACCAGGTGCGTATGGAGATGTTACAAACAACACGCTTCATGCAGCAAAATACATATTGCACTTCAACTCACCTTGAGCGGCCGTTCCTCTGGTGCTGAATACACTTGCTATCAGAGTGGCCACATACCAAATCATAGTACTATTGCCGACCAGCTATACCACGCAAAGTGCCCCGTTCAAGCAATCTTTCATATTCGACCTTGCGCCTCACGGTCTCCTAGCATAACCGCATTTACATATTCCTATGTTCTTTCCTTCTTCCCTTCCGCCCCCGTCCTTCCATCCGCATCCTCTCCCGAAGAGACAGAACACCTGCACCGCCGCGGTCGTAGTAGACGGGGCCGTTTTACGAGCGCATAGTGAAAGCAAGTGTGAGAATGCAGCCACAGGTCCGCCTCTGCCGTCATTTCATTGGCTGCTGATTGAGGCTTTGGGGCGTGTATTGGTTCCTTGTACGGCCCGCACCCCGAATGACAGCAGAAGCAAGGTGAGTTGGAGCGTGCCGTAGTAGTGGAACTGCAGTATCATGCGCATTGACAGTAAGCAGTGTCCATGTCTTTAAACACCTCTCATAAAGTATCCCCACGTGGACCCTTTACATCCTGCGGCCACAGAGCCACACGTCCCTTTGTGCAGTTATAACGGGTTATCAGTATCATGGTTGGTGCAGCAGCGAGAGGCGCGCGTCTGTCTTGTGCGTGTGCGTGCGTGCGTGTGTGTGTGTGTATGTGACTCATCTGTCTCTCAGCCATAGCCCCCGGCTGTTGTGATGTCGCCGCGACACGCGCAAAACGCTTTACAGACGCTTCTGTGCACTGCGTCTGGCACTATGTGAAGGGTGTGGTGACAAATACAATAAGCAGTTTTTCCCCCCTTTCTTTGATGCTACTGGATCACGATGCCCACCGAGCACACATGCTTAACGCTGATAAGCCAGCCAGCCGCCACTCTGCCTTCATGCATGACCACACCAACTAGGGTGCACAGTCTGGCAGCTCAGCAGCTGAATTCTCAAACCCTCTGCATGCACGATTACTATATTTCTGCAGGTCCTGTATCGTCAACAGCATAGGCGCCACATCAGACGCATGTGCTCCAAATCGTTTCGTCACAGCAGGCTCACATCCCACCATTTCACTTGCAGTCTGCATCCCTCGGTAAATATCTGACCAATGTGTCAGTCTGGCACAGTAAATGGCATATCATATGATGGCCACAATGTATTAAATGTGAGATTTCATTTAAAATCCTTCAAATCCATTTAAGGACATCACAGCAAACACATGTCAAACTGAATGTATATTGCAGGGGTTTCTGTCAGTTTCATTTTGAGGGATAAAAAGATACATGATGTCTTGGTTGACCTTGATTAATAGTTATTATTATGTGACCTAGAATACGGCTAGATATATACTGATATTTTTTTTTAAGTAGTAGTAGTGGTAGTAGTAGTAGTAGTAGTAATGGTAGTCTTTATTTTGAATTATTATTTGTGAAGTACAATAAAATAGAAAAAAACACATACATTTCTACACAATTCAAAAAGGACTATAAGTAAAGCTAATGTTTCCTACCCCATTAAATGTTCTTTCTTTTACAAGAGTTCAAATGAAATAATCAGATTTACAGTCACATAAATATCAGATAATTGACACTCGTTACCATAAATAGTCATAAAGTATGTGCAATGTAAAAAAAATCAGGGCTATAATTTATTTGACAGACGCCCCGACATCAGGCCAAATGTGCAGTGCATGGGATTCAAGTTTATAATGACATTTCATGTTCAAAATAACTCAGCATCTTTACAGTATGGAGTCATGAAGTCATCCCCTTTTTTGCAGCACCATGGCAAGTTCTTCTAACATCTCTTCATGTGCATCAGTTCAAGTTCAACTTGTGAAATCTATTAATACAACAGTGTTAATTGAGCTACAGAAGGTGTTTTTGAAGCTAAACGCAGAACTAAATGTATTATATAAATGTTCACTGAGAAAAACATTTCAATATAACACTTTAGTTTTTGTTCTATTTTTCATGTGTTCAACTTTTATTTATTTATTAGTTTCATGTCTTGACCTTTTTCAGGAAAGTCCCACTGAGAATCTTTTTCAGGGGAATCCTGGCCCTAGACAGCAGGCGGGAGTAGGGTCGGGGTGTTATGAGTGACTAACATGTTTTCAGATGTTCAATAGAGCCAACCATCAATTTCTTTCCGTTTTAGACCTGTCTCATATCTATAAATATTCATATATGTCTATCAATCCAACTTTGTGGCATATCAAGTTGCACAGGGGTCTTAGGCTGACCACAATAGAAGGCCACCGGAAGATGTTCCGTCTGGCTTCTTTGTGTGAAACAGAGACATCTCCTTCTCAAAGGTTGATCAGGGAGATGATTGTGGCCTGTGGAAGGTTGGTCTACTTCTTTTCAATGACTGAAGTTTCTGGATATTGGCAGAAACTGGAACATGCTGTCGTAAACAGCGGTCAAGAGAATCTCAAACATGCTCTGAATATTTGAGATGCTGTGGCAAACATCCAGAGCATCCAGCTCGCTGAGGATGTCTTCAGGATACATGTTCTCTTCACGGATGAATCCAGTTTTTACTGTTCATGACACCCATTGAGCATGTTTGGGATGCCTTAAAGCCCCCCAATCAGCATCTCGATGCTTCTTTTGGGGATGATCTTTGATAATGATGATGAATTGTCTCAGCAAAAAAATCAGTCCGCACTGAAACAGATTTGGTGAACATAACCCATGAGAAATGGGAGGATGTTTGCATTCATATTTGTGTTCAGTGTAACTGTCAAGTTTATCCCGAGATAATGGAGAGGTAACTCTAGCCAATTGTCAAATCTCGAACTCCAGAGGAGCAGCTGGTTTACAACTATGAATCATGGGAGTTTCTGCATCCTGTCTTCATGTGCTTTTGGATGTGGAGAAGGTCTTCGATTGTGTCCTTTGGGGGGCCCTCTACTGAGGGGCATCTCCTTTCTGACTGGTGTCGGAGTTGCGTTTGCCTCGCCGTCAGTAAGGCAGACCTGTTCCCAGTGCATGTTGGCCTTCACTGGGAAAGCCCTTCGTCACTGATTCAGTTTACAGTTCTCATGGATTATTCCTGATGCAGGATAGCGTTATCCTTCCTTAAGTGGTATTCAGGTATCCAAGGTTCAGCAAGCATGAGATCAGTAAGGTAAAGGTAAAGGTGCACTTTATTTATCCCCGTAGGGCAATTCATCCTCTGCATTTGACCCATCCTGATGTCACCAGGGCCGCCCGGGTCTATCAGGAGCAGTGGTTGCCATCTGCGGTCTCCCATCAGTGCACCATCTGCAGTGATGGGGTCGCGTTATCAGAAAAGAGAGCTAAGTGTAAGGCACATTTCTCAGTTTACTGGTCAAACAACATTTTACTTTCAAGTTCCAAGTTTGATTTCAGACAGTGAGAAAATAAATATCTTATTTTTGTTATGCATTTCCGGTATCCACTGCATTCATCTGTATGCTTACAGTATATATAGATATAGATACATATACCATAGCTGCCTTAAGTTATGAATGATATGGAAGAGGATTTTTCTGTCCATTGCATAATTCTAGACTGCCATCTAGTGGCGAATTGAAAAACATCCCATGGTTACATTGGCAAGTGATCATGTAATTGCATACCGTCTCTTGTTTGATCCAAATGATCTGAATTCAATAGTTTCCTGAAACTCCGGATTAAGAAGTTTAGACAAACATATTCATACAAGCAATGTTTAAGAGTTTGTTTGTGTTTTAGAAATGGTGTTCAATGATGGATGGATGGATGAACAGACTCATGGTCCAGAAGACAAAATAGAGAAGACACAACACACTACAAACAGATAACATAAAACAAGACAAGAACAACGTGTGGTGCTTATTATTAAATTATCAATATTGACCTGAAGTATTGTAAGAGGTCAATAAGGGCTACCAGCATGCATTATTTTAAAGAATCAGAGGATTTCCCTTGTTTCATGCTGTCCCAGAAGCATACCAATTCCCTCCGCTCTTATCTTGTTGTTTTCAATCCATATTTAGACTCTATATTTTCGAATCAGATTTGATTTCTAACCTTAACCCTCACATTAACCTTAATGAATCTTAACATGAGGGAACATGTTCAATCATTCTCAGCAAAAAAAAAAATCTTAGAAATGAGGAAACAGAGTTGTGTGAATACAGGGCTGAGTGAACTTAGGACTGTGGGCACTTAGAGCTCAGGTTACATAGCGCTCAAGGGACAGCACTCAAGTTACATGGAGCAGGGTTCCCCAACTTTTTTGAGCCGTGGCACACCTTTTTCAGTGAAAACAATCACATGGCACACAACAGTTGAAACTGATGCAAAAATGAAATTCTCATCAAAGTGTTTTATACAAAGAATCAAACAAGCGCAAAAGAAGTATTTCTAATCGTCTTCATTATTTTTGTTTCACATCATATTGAACATTTAGGTGATATTGGATCATCAAGGCACACCAAGCAACATCTCATGGCACACAGGGCTATACTAGAGCTATTGTCATGCTCTTCCAGCTCTCGTAGTCCTGACCGAGCCAAGCATCACCTTCTGGAGATGGGTCCCCGAGTACCCTATACCAGTGTTTTTCAACCTTTTTTGAGCCAAGGCACACTTTTTTCATTGAAAAAATCTCTGCGAAACACCACCAGGAGGAAATATAAAAATATATACTATACTTTATGTATAATATATATACTCTGTAGCCTGCCCTATATATTCACAATATAAAGTCATTCTCATCAAACTGCTTAAATCGAGGCCTTGACATTAAGCTTTGTTTAATATTTCTCAATACAATGAGTTAACAATAGTTTGGGAAGAAAATGGCACTGTGTGGAAAAAAACATATAGGGAAAATCCACTCTCTGCCCAAATAGTCAAATAATGACTCAGAGGGCTCTTAAGTGTGCAAACTAATAATTCAAAAAATGGCCTGATGTGTGTTCTGTTTGATTTTACTTTTGTGCACAAATAATAATGCATTGTTACAGTTTTTCTCAGTCGCTTTGGTGCATTTTTCACATCATTCTTCACATTTGCACAACAGTTGGTGCATTTCTCAGAACAATTAGTGCAAA